TCCGGCTCCGCCAACCGCGGGCGCCGCCGCCTGGGGGGCTCGGCACCGGCGGGGGTTGTTTTCCGTGGGCAGCCTTTCCCTCTCCCCGCCTGTCCCAACACCACGTTCCTTGCTGCGACAGTCCGGATGCGTTCAAACGCGCTAGTTCTGATAAATTTTGTCTCCAAGGAAATACAAATGTTGCTGAAATCGTACCTCCTCCCTATCCCCCTTTTTTATTTAAAGTCGCCCGTTCAAATGCCTCGGCTTGAAAGTCCCTGTGATGTTTTTCAGGTCATCTTTTATACAAGATAACCGGTAAAGATGTTGAAGTTTAAATGCGGTGCCCGAAATACAGTAGAGGCAGGACCAATGGAGCCCATCAGCAGCCGAATTTCTCGGCTAAATCTGCTCTTTCAGGTAAAGAACATCTGGCCTGAGGTTAGCTGATCTCAGTTTCATCTGTGTCCATACCCAGCATATCAAAATACAGTTCTGCTTGTTTGTGTGGACACTAAAAAGCGTGCCTGTGTGGTTCTTTGGAGGAGCAGGTAAAAGAAGGGGATGACTTGTTACAATTCAAAGTGTGTATCTAGTTTGCACAAAGTTTAGTGGATAGTAGCTGGTTGTATGTTCATGTGCATCTGTTTATGTTTTAGCCTGAGTGGATTTTCCCACATCAAGATGGAGTATTGCGTTCTGTGTCCTGTAATCCACGTTTTTTTCATGGGTGATGTAGCTAAGGGTTTGTCATGAGGTGAATTTCCCTAACCCGCTGCTATTTGATCATCTGAGGTTCAGCAGCTTTTCCTTCTAGAGCTCATAATCGTACTGATGGCTTAAACTATTTGTACCATGAAAAAACCCACATGGTACAATGTCAAGAAAAAAAGCCAGTAACATCAGAGTCATCAGTAGGATGTAGATAGTTTCAAGAAAGCTGTGATTTGAACTTTAATAATCTTTAAAGGATTGCTCTGTCTAAAAGTAAAATACCTGTAACAGCTATTACAGACATAGTGAGTGGACATAGTGAGTTGATATATTTACCTCACACTTCTGTATCGTTTGTCCAATTTCTGAAGTAGTGATTTTTAAATGAATAATATATAATCTGCTCTATACATCTGTTATTGATTTGAGGCTTTTCATTGTTGTCTGAGACTCCATCTGCTGTTGCATCTTTTTTTTTCCAGGGGAAGCCACTCTTTGTGACTCAACAGCAGATGTCTCCTCTCTCCCGGGAAGGCATCCTTGATTCTTTATTCGTTCTTTTTGAAGAATGCAGAAACCCCACTTTAATGAAAATTAAACATGTTGGCAACTTTGTCAAGAAGTGTAAGTTTGTTTAGACTGATTTTCAGGTGTCATTTTAAAAGGCAGTCCTTAAGAATCTGAATGTTTAGATAATGCTTTAGTTGCTTTGATTCATTAGTGACTGTAACCCAGGACTTTGAGCACTTGACTTTTTGTGGGCAGACCCAACATTGCAAAGGGGAGCTTGGCAATCTTAGTAAGGCTTTATTCAGTTCCAAAAAGATCAAACGCAAGTAGCTTTTGAAGTGCTGTGACTCGAATGTCCATCCTTCTTAGTCTGTACTGTATTTATAGTTGAGAAGACACTTTTCTTAAAAGTGTCTGAGTACTGCATACGGCAAAGGTCCAAGTACACACAATAGAAGGACATCACAAGATGAGAGCAGGACAGTGACTAGAGGTATGAGAAAAAAAAATCCTAGAAAGGAACTTGGTAATCCTTGTCTCTTTCAGCTTGAAGTAATCTTTTGGATTCTGTATGTTATCCAAATTTTGCATGTATAACTCGTAAATAGTAATTCTGTGCTTCAGAAATATAATTTCTGATGGAGTAAATATTTTACTGAAAATGTATTCAGATTCTTTTTGGGCAAAAGAAACAAAAAGTTTCATCAATTTTTCTATTAAGATATACTAGAAAGCCATTTGGTTAAAAGTAACTTATCATACTCTCTATGATCGTTCCATCCAACAGTTTCTAGATATTACTAGCGGAGAGTAATTTTCTGCTAGTCTGAAGTATTTTTAGAACAATCTACCGTGAGCAATTGATTATCACAGTGCATGCTGGTTGAAACTAGTCAATGGAAAACTTGAACTGAATATCTGAAATAAATGTCTACGGTTGTTTGTTAGACAATAGACTAGTGCCTCCCACAGGCAGAGGAGAAAACCCTGCCACTTGACTCATAGAACTCGGCTGGCTAAAGCCCTCATATTTAGAGAATACACTTTGTATTGGTAAAGGATGGTTGGAAAGAAATTAGAAACAAAAGAGGCTATCAGCCTATGATGTTATGAATGGGACAGAATTACGGTTGCTATGGGAACTGTCTTAACATTTCCTGATTCTTTTTTATGTACCATATTTCAGTCTTAACCATGCATTAATACAGTCTTTCTCTAGTTCTTATGCATACTGTTTTTTTTTTTTAAGAAGCATGTTCTGGAATGATTTAACATTTCTTGAGAGTCTGGAACTAAATTTTTTTTTGTTTGTTTTTTGTTTTATTCCCCGTTTTTGATGTTGTGCTTGTTATGAAATGCCAGTTGACTAATGTAAAAATAAGTATTTTATTTTTATAGATGCAGAGGCTATAGCTGAATTACGGGAACTGCAACCCAGTGTGAAGGATTTTGAAGTAAAGAGTGTGGTTGGTAGTGGTCACTTTGCAGATGTAAAAGTAGTAAGAGAGAAAGTTACTGGTGATGTATATGCTATGAAGGTGATGAGCAAGGAGTCCTTGTTGGCGCAGGAGCACGTATGTATATTTTTTTGTTATGACAGTAGAACAATAAATTACAATTCGTTGAACATTTCCTTTTTGTCACTACTATTAGAATTAAGTTAAAAGTGTATCTTGAGAAGGATCATCCTACATTTCAGTGAAGTAATATATTTGTGTGTAGTTCTGCTGTGTTTAAAAGCCATTGTCACAGACTATGAATCTGTTGGGTGAGGTGCCAAAAATGTCCCTTGTCTTAAAGAGCTTGCCATCTAATTATAAGACAAGAAACAGATGAAGAAAATACTGGATCAGTATTGACTGGCTTGATGATGGCTTGAATTTTCAGGCAATCTATTCATTAAGTTTTTTTTTTTTATTTTAAAGAGCGACGTATAATGTCAAGAGTGGGTGTGAAGGCAAACTGTGGTGACTGGATTTTTATGGAGAGCCTCTCACTAGCTTGAGAAATGTGTTACTTGAAAACTTAAAAAAGGGATAATGGAGGTTGTTACCATAGTTTGGTGAGAAACAGAAGTTAATCTTTCACTGACATGAGACAACAAGTAGGACAGAGATACTCCATGAAAGACCTCGTGAATTTATACAGCAATATCTGTATCGGTTGTTCCCAATATCTGGTGCAGTTAGGTTTCTCCTGAGATCCCTTAGCATTGTTTGTGGCTGTCATAAATGAAGATAAACTAAAATTACTCTTGTTATGGCATAGGTTGATGAGAAAGCAAAGTGTGATACTACCTTCAATATGACACTTGCTCAGTCTTGTGGAGTGTGGGTCAGTGAAAGTAGGGAATGTTGATCTAAATGAACTTGCAGTATCTCTGTAATTAATTTCTTGTTGTCTGGCTGCACATCTGAATAATTAAATAGTTGCTAGAAGATGATTTCAAGAAAGCCTTGTATTTTAATACCTTACAATGAATTTATTACTGAATTAGCTGTAGATGCTACCTCATAATTGCTCTAGCTTCTTTTCTGCTTGTCTGATTCTTTTGAGATTAGTTTTGTTTTATTAGGGCCAGTCCAGAAGAGGTCAACTAAGATTGCACTCCAGACTGGTAGACGCTTCACTAGTTTGAAAGGGAAGCTGGCCTTTGCTGCACGGACTATTCAGTTGAAAGCAAGCTAGACAATGGAAGGTGGGAGGGGAATGGTAAAAACAAATGAGTAAAATTACTTTTTAAAAGGTGCACATCACAAGGAAATAGCATTTAATATTTTCTGTGTAATTTTTGTGTGATGTGTGCCTTTGGCACAGACTCAAATCTTTCTAAAACTAGGGGATTTTAATGTATTCTATCTCGTTTTCACCATGATGTAACTGAATACTTCCTTTTTTTTATAGGTGTCATTTTTTGAGGAAGAACGCAGTATATTATCTCAAAGCACCAGTCCATGGATTCCACAGTTACAATATGCATTTCAAGACAAGAAAAATCTGTACTTGGTAATGCCTAGACTTTGTTTCTTTTATTCTCTATTGAACACTATTGCCATTGTTATGTTGAAGAACAATGTGATGGTTGAAATGCGCTCATCTTCTGTAAATTTTCCTCTGTTACATACCATTGTTTGATATGTGTCCAGCGTAACATGGAGGAGTTGAATGCAGTATCTTTTGTATATATGAACTATATCTGTTCCTTTAAAATTTTATGTAGGTTATGGAGTATCAGCCTGGAGGGGACTTACTATCACTCTTAAACCGATATGAGGACCAACTAGATGAGAGTATGGTGCAGTTTTATCTTGCAGAGTTGGTTTTAGCCATTCACAGTGTCCATCAGATGGGTTATGTACATCGGTAGGTAAAGATTGCTTTGTGTTGCACGTAATATTTGATCAGTATCATTCCAGAAAAAGCGTTCTGGAATGATGCATTCTTGGTTTTTTTTATATTCCGTCCTCTTTCAGGACACTATTTCACATGCTGTATCAGAAAAGAAAATTAGAAAATTAATCAGACTCCAACTATAATTGTAGCTAAAGGCATTAACTTTGATGTAAAGTTCAAACTAATATCAAGAAAGGATTGTTATGTGTATTATCTGGAGGCTTAGTAAAAAGAAGCCTTAATGTTGCACTATAAAAAATTAAAATCTTTTCCAGAGATTGTTGCTTTTAGCACTAAGTAGTGTGGGAAACTTGTGTAATTGTTAAAACTTGTTGTGTGCTGATTGGTGAACAGGGCAGTATAGGATGTTGGAATAGTTAAATATCACAGTGTTTTCTAAAGATCATATCAAGGCTTGAAGGCTGTTACTGTATGCATTTTCAAATTATATTGGTGTTTAAGAAATTTATTCCTTTGGAAATGTTATGAAGTATTTTACGTTCCAAGCAGCTGTAGCAGCTGCACTTAGAGCATAGGCTGTGGCTTTCTAATGCAAGGTAGCTGCCTGGATTTGAAAGATGTATGGAATAAGCTGTGATGAAATTTGGGAAGGAAGCTATATAATACTTCACTGTAAGTCAGTTACAATGTAGTCAAGGTGCAAAACCACCTTTTCTTTCCATCTTCTGTCAATAATTATTAACTTTACATGAAATTAGGGGAACTTTACTACTTTCATGTTTGCTTGGAAACAGAACAACAGTTGGAAATAGGACTCCCACTTGTTAAGATTTTGTGCAATTGAGTACGTGGTTGAATGTAGCTGAATAGGGTTATCCTGTTATCTAGATGTGACAGTGGGGAATGGTATGGAAAGGTTATTGATTGCTTTTTTCTTGCTTACAGAGACATCAAACCAGAGAATATTCTTATTGACCGAACAGGACACATTAAACTGGTGGACTTTGGGTCAGCTGCCAAAATGACAGTAAACAAAATGGTAATAATGTGGATTTAAACTTTGTGTATGGCTTGTTTGGATAGTCCACTCAAAAAGAGAAAACTAACTTTATATCTGTTCCTTGATTGCACTTTGGTTTTCTGCCTTTCTTGTCCAATATGGAATCTGTTCACAGTGATATTCTTCCATTTATGAATGGCTTTTCAAACATGAGCTCAAGTATCTTTTGCAGCTCTCAGTAGATATATATTTGCCTATTAAAATTTTAATACACAAGTAAGGTAAAGGCAGGTCTACTTTCTCATGGTGCTGCACTGCAATACAAAATCGTACTTCTAGAGATTCTTACAATTGTTCAATGCTGTGTTTAAAGAAGGACGTGGATTTATAATTGTTCATAATTGGACTGAAAATTGTGTTTGTTGTAACTAAGGTGGCATAGTTTTGGAGACCAGAGAGCTCTTGATTGAAATAAGTCATATTCCAATGTTCTGGGCTTTACTCACCAGAAAGCACTATATTCAAAGCTGTGAATCTGTTGAGTTTTTTTATAAGTTGCATGTAAATTTAGGTAACTGCATACAATTTCAAGTGAAAATTTGAAACTAAAATATATCCAAGTGAGAATATGAAGTTCTATGCCAGATTCCTGTCTTGTTTTACAATTTTTATTTTTTCTAGCATTTTCTTAGTATTGTGACTGCTCATATTTTGTTTTCCCTGTTCATCCTTTTCGGTGCTTCTCTGCAGTGCATTTTTCTTTTAAATTTTTTCTCCACACTATCTTTTCAATCATCTTCAGGTTTTTGTGTTAGTCTGCCTGCTGTTTTGTTTCATTCTTTATGCCACTCAGTGCAAAAATGATTGCAGTTTTGGCTCCTGAATTACCTTTTCTAAGCACTCCAGAAATTCAAATATTAGTACCTTGCTGATCATATACACAAGGTAAAAATGTAGAGATGACACAGAATGGAATGAGGGCAGGGAATATTTATGTCTAAATTTGACTTTTTTTGAAATTTCAGCTATGATGTCCCTGTTAATACTAGCTGAAGCAGTAGTGCTAGACTATGTATACTGCTTAAAACATCACTGTTTAGTAATCCTGTGCTTTTTAGAATGCTGCTTTTTCTACCTTAGCTGTTTGTACTTTCTAGTAACAGTTAGCTCTGATAATTTGACTCTTTTTGTACCAAATAGCTTGCTTTCTGTTTGTTTCTTTAACCTTGCGCTTTTTGCTTAACAGCCTTGCTTACAATTACTTAAAATTCACTTGGAGGACTGAAAATTGTCTCTCATTTAAAAAAAAAAAAAAGGAAAAAAAAAAGGGAAAAAAAAAAAAAAAAAGATGTGTTTTATTACCAAGATCACAATGAACAGAAAGTGCTGTAATTTCACTTGGTATATCTTTGCTTCTAGGTAAATGCCAAGCTACCTGTTGGCACACCTGACTACATGGCACCAGAAATGCTAACAGGGTTGAATGGGGATGGCAAAGCTTCTTATGGTCCAGAATGTGACTGGTGGTCTCTAGGAGTCATTGCATATGAAATGATTTACGGAAGATCTCCGTTTGCTGAAGGGACTTCAGCAAAAACTTTCAATAACATCATGAACTTCCAGGTAGAGAGAATTCCTTCCGTGTTCTTGAGTAAAAAAACTAACTAAAGACTATGTTTTTACAGTTGAGAAAAGAAGCTTATGGATATCTCCTACTTTGTCATGTTCATAAAATATTTAGAATATATGCTTTATATCATTTTTATACGTCTCTGTATTGTAGATATGAAGTTATTTTTTTTTGTAACAGGTGTCTAAAAATAATCATCGACAGTGCATGAATTAGAAAAGATTTAGCTGTCCATCTTAGGCAACTATAATTGCAGCACTTCCAAAATAACCTAGAAAAGGGATTGAAAGGATGAGTTGTGGATTGGTAAAGTTTCTGAACCTTTCTAAGTGTTCCTGGATAGTAAAGGTAAGGGCTAGCTATGAAGAGCTGCCAAAAGACTTGAGGATATTGAGTGTCTGCATGATTAAAACATCATGTGAAATTTAGTGTAAATAAATTTAAACCAATGCATACGAAGGGAAAAGTATCCCAACTTTACCCAGTGGTGGGCTCAAGAATATCTTGATGTTATAATCTATGCAAATGTTAGTTTAGTTCTTAGTAACAGTCCAAAAAGCAGCATATAGAATGGTAGGGGTTAGTAGGATGAAAAAGAAAAAAACAAAAATCATGTGTAACTGGGAGGAAGTGAACAAAGATTGGTTGCCTATTATCTCTTCTAATATGGGAATTAGGGGCATCAAGTGAAAGTAGCCAGCAGTAACTACGTTACAAACAAAAAAGGATACTTCATATAGCACATTCTCATGCTGGGGAGCTCTTTGCCCTAAGTTTGCAGCTACTGAATGTTTATATGTGTTCAAGGAGTGTCTAGAAAAATTCATAGAAGAAGAATCCATTGAGATCTGGAAAATACAAAGACATCATCCCTGGTTCAGAAAATTATAAGCCACAAATCCTTGGAAGTTTGGGGGAATTTTCTGGAGAATTGTCTTGTTTTACTCTTCCATTTTTGTATGCTGTTGACCATTGTTCAGCATAAGATGGTGATCTGGGACTACCATTTGTCTGATTGGGAATGGTTGTTCCTATGCTCTTATCTTTACTGCGTTAAATGCATATAAACGCCTATTTGGAAAAAATGTATAATGCTTTTATTTGTATGCTATAAATATTTATCCTTCGTGCCTGACATCTCTCAGAATAATGAAATTTAATCTTGCTGTTCTGGGTCTGTTTTCCTACTGAGCAAATATCCTTTTCCTTCTAATGCAGAGATTTCTGAAGTTTCCAGAGGATGTGAAAGTTAGTAGTGAATTTCTTGATCTGATCCAGAGCCTGCTTTGTGGGCAGAAGGAAAGGCTAGGTTATGAGGGACTCTGCTGCCATCCGTTTTTTTCTAAAATTGACTGGAATAACATTCATAACTGTAAGTAGAATAATACTGTATTTATAAGCAATTCTTGTTTCTTTGGGTAACATGAAAATTTGTACAATGTGAGTATTTAAGTGTGTTTGATCTGAATAATTTTTCATAATGAAACAGGACTGTGTCCTGGAGCAAGTGTTTTTAAGAAGACAATTCATTTTGGGTTTTGGATAGGATATGTTAACATCTCAGGTGAAAATTGTAAGGTAAGATGAAGTTTAATACACTTCTATATGAATTTCTGTTGCAATTGCCGTATTACTGGAGGCACTAGACTGGAAAATCAAAATGGTCCTTTCCATGTCCTTCCTCAGATTAAAATGCATCAGTATGTTCTTTCAGGCCTTTTCCACCTCAATTTGCTTAATTTTGGCTTCATCTCATGTTTTTTTGTTGTATCTTCAGCTTTCTCTCTTTCATTGCTTGTGATCCAAGTTCATTTAAGTTTTTTTTTTTGTTGTTGTTTTTAAGCTCCTGTAGGCGATAAAATATCATCGGTCATAGGGGCATTGGAGTTTTTCCTTGAAGTTGATGTGGCTAATATATGGCTAATTTTTTTGTCAAAAATCTGTTCATTCTACTAGGAATAGAATAAAACCAGTGAAGCAGATAATTTTCTATGCAGAAAATTGTTTATAATACTATGGAAGCAATGGATAGTATTTTAAATTATTTGGACTCTAAGGTTATCTGGGCAAGGAACATGTCTGCCTTATATTCTTTATCAAATATGCTGTGAGAGCAATGATTGTGCTCCATTTTCCATGATAAATTGCTAAGCCAGTGCTTCTAGTTTTGATGACTATCTCGGCACTTCAGCTGTCAGCTCCACAGAATGTTTACTCACTTTTCTGTTGATTCATTAATTTAGAACTTGTGGAGCTGCTGTTCTGTTAAATTCCATTGTTTCTGCACTTTGAGAGCCATTGAGCCTTGATTCTTTTTCATCGTTTTAGCATACATTTCCCAGACTTCAGCTCACTCTGCCTTCTTTCCCCAGAGCCCTGCCTAAGCCACCAGTTTCTGTTTCTGAATTTTTTGTATGCTTTTGTATCATATTATCTCAGATCTGGAAAAAAATGGCATGTGAGCATATGTTCTGGTGTTTCCTTGGCAATTGCCTGTCCAGTATTCACACAACTGCAGAAGTTAATTGAGTGTTTTGCCATTTCATGTGACAGCGGTGATGCTGATGGACAAGCTGGTAGGCAGCCCTGATGTCATTATGATGTTGAAATAATCATTTGGGATTTAAAAAAATCCCATTTCTGTCTGCAGCTGGCCAGTGGATTGCATCATTCCCTGTAATATCCGGACCTACCTCCTGTGAAGATTCATGCAGTTTTGACCCCTGACTTTGTTGTTATGTCTCATACTTCATAAAACCCTACTGTAACTAGCACAAAACACAGCAGTCTTCTTGCTTTTAGTAGCAGATTCAATGTATCACCTATTGCTTTGCTCTCTGCAGTGGTTCTCCACTTGCTGGTTTATTCAGGGCAGCGCTGCTGTCATTCTGTTCAAAACCCTTGTCGGGTTTGACCCGGGCTATCTAAAAGCTAAAGGTTTCTTTCTTATCTTGACCTCTGGTGATAGTGGTGTTTAACTGGAGCAATGGCAGCCTGAGAAAATTAGGAAACAAGTGAGTGCTGGAAGAGGTCACAGGATTTAGATTTACATTAAAGAATCTCACTCCCTCAAGTTAATCTGGTCAAAGATTTTGGGGGTATGGAATGTTGGACTTGATGATCTTAAAGGTCTTTTCCAACCTAAATGATTCTATGATTCTATGGTTGTCAAATAAATTCTGTGTCAGCACAGTCAGACTTTCTATAGTCTATAAAAGCAATGATGTTGTTTCTATTTCAGACTGAGGAAGGTAGGAAAAAATTGGTACCCTTGCCTTGCAGGTATTTAAATTATCATGCTGGGAGCTCCAGGAAAACCATTCTTAATGCACTGATTTTAGTTAAGAATGTGTCATTAAAGGGTTTTTCAGTGTTACATTTTGTTGTTATGGTAACCTATGAAACACTTGACTTTTTAATAAACCCTTTCTCAAAAGATAGTTGCCTGTAAAAAAGCTCCCAACTTCCTTGGGTTCAAGTAGCATGTGTCTGTAGAAGCAGCTCTTAAATTACAGAAACAGAATCCAACCATTAAACCTAAGGTCAGGTCTAACTAAATCTGTCTCAACAGGTAATTTTCCCCTTCCTTGGAGTATTACACCGAAACATATTTATAGATTCTGCTCTCTGTATTTGTTGATTTCTGCTACTTGATGACTTCTGAAGCTTCTAAAAAAAATCCCCCCAAAACAGACACAACCACCCCCCCCCAACCAAAAGAAAACAAACCGAAAGTTTTGAAAGATTGTGTTGATTTACTTCACAGAATTTTTTGAAAATATTTTGGAATTTATTTACCTAGAATAAGCATATTTCTATCTGCGTTTCAGCTAAATGATCAGGATTGTAACTAGAAAGTTGATAACAGAATTATCTGAGTACTTGATAAGTATCTAAAATCAGAGGTAGAAAATGGGGGAATGACATACTTGAGTTATCGGCAACAAGGTTGCATTCTGTATAATTTGGGGATTTTGGTAATCACCTTTTGTTATTTGAAATTGATAAATTACATCAGCTGTTTAATTTGGAACCAAAAATCTGCCTATTGAAGTCTCGCTGAGAGGTGGTCAGAAGATTTTTATTGTCATCTAAGTGATATATATGTATAGCATAAAGAATCTTTCATTTTAAGAATTGTTTTGTAACTGCAGTCCAAGAGGTCTTGAAAATGGGATGGTATATTCAGACTTGTATGAGGAAACTATATATATGAGAAGAAAAGAATTAATGTCTTGTGCAAACAGAAGAACTTGAGAGAGTGTTGAAGACTGATTTTTAGGCTGTCTTCTGCTCTTAAACAGGAAGGAACCCAAATCTCATTGTTCATAAGTCCAAGACTTATCCTTATGAACCCAAAGTTGTCATTCAGTATGTTAACAGTTAAACATTGTGATGTTTCCTGTAAATGCTTGCCCTCAGAAAAATGTCTTGACTTGTTTCTCTAAGTGGAGATCACTTTCATGTCAGCTTGAAGACCACACTTATTAGCCAAAATGTATGCATTGGATCATTGTCTTGACAGAACAGTAAAGATGTTAAGATAATATTGTACAGATTGGTTAGAACTAGTATAATGCTTTTTTTTTTAAAGTGGTCTTAGGGAAGACATCCTTAAATTACATCACTTGGACTTTCTATTTTCTATTTTTCTTCCATAAGATTTTACTCAAATAGGCCTCTTAAAGCCTGAGGAAGAGTAACGCCTAACCTACTTAAAAAGGCTGTGTGGATGCTTTTCCTCAGAAAGCATATGTAGATCACCTTGTAGATCAAGAAAAGACACATTTTTATTCTTAAGAAATGTTCTGTGTTTCCTTTAAATTTCCTATTTCAGTTAAGTCTTTCACTGTCCCAGGGGAAATGCAGTATCTCTTTTCTGAATTTGCATGAAAATATTTTGAAAGAATGGAAAGATCCGATTAAGGCAATATTCCTTGACTTAGTCATAAATACACACACTATTGCAGAGTTTAAAAAAAAAAAAAAAAAAAAGCTTCTTTCCATAAGAGACATTTTATCTAATCTTAATGATAAACTGGTTAAAGTACTGCAGTATATGTGCGGTGGTTTTGTTTTTTTCTTTTTTTCTTTTTAAACTTAGCAACCTACAACACCCCCTTTTCCTCTGAAAGTCATTCTTTGGAACAGATGGAAGAGGGTTACATCCTTCCACAAGTGGGGAGGTATCTATGCAAGCAATTGGCTTTTTTAAAACATGCAGTTCTCTACAAGATACTTTAAATGGTAAACAGAACATGTACGTTCGTTTGTAACATATCGGAGACAAAAAGAGGTCTTTATACCCAACCAGTTTGTATGAGTAGAAGCGTCGGGTTTACTGTATTTTTGAGTACTAGTTTTGTCGCCGTTTTGGGTAAGGCTGAAAGAAGTGCACATTTTTCACCTTGTCAGATGTGATGGCATGGTTTTAACCTTTAGTTCTCAGAGGGTTATCTTGACCTCTACTAAAGGATTTTTCCCTTTAAAGAAGAAACTGATAAGCACATCAATGTATTTGCATTCACCAATCTTCATCTTGTTCTGAAAATACTATAGTTGTGTGACTCCTCTGATTTTAAGCAAGAAATAATTAAATAGCGATTATGTCACCATGTGACTGACATTTGAGAACAAAATTGCTCATTTGTTTTAGTTTGTTTTTACAAGACTACTCTGTTTATTCTGTAGATATTTGGACATCAGACAAAGGACTCCTTAGTCTTAGGAATAAAGGACTATGAAGAAACTACCAAATAATTGACAAAATCAGACAGAGTGGTTTTTTTTTTTTCCTTAAAGATACTCCCTCTTACTCCTAAGTGAGTTTTTTTCCAGTGTCCTGAAACTTTCGAAGAAGTTCTGCTTCTCATTTTCAGTCACCATTGCCAGTTCAGAACTACTTAAGGTCTAGAGGTGTTTTTGTTGAATGACTGTTCTAAGTTTTCTTTCTAGTTGCTACTATTTCTTGATGCAAATATTGTAACAAGGTTATACTGCAAGGTTGCAGAGTTTTTGGACTGTTAGCCATGGATTTTTAGTGAATGCAAAATAGAGGGCAAAGGATATTTTCATTATTTTTTAATCTAGTGTTCACAATTTCTCTTCTTCATTCACATCCTTTATTAAACATTAGAGGAAACTGTAGTGTAAAACATTGTGCTCTTTAAACTAGTTTCCCACAAGCCCCAAAGGTTTGCTCTGTCTCACATTCAGTTCTTTTTGTATCCATTGTTCCCCCACTGAGTGCTTTTCATTTTATGTTCATGCTTGCTGATCTTAGGCATATTTCAGTTATATTTTCTTTTATGCATGTGGTTTGACTAGGAATTCTTATTGTTGGTAAGAGGAAAGACTTTCTTTTTAATTGCAAGGGCTTGAAGATGATTCTTAAGATCTTAGCTAATTTCTGGTGAGAAGTAAGGCACTAGATCTCTCTTTCAAAGATGAAGTTATCTGTCAGACTCTGAGGAGTATATAACAGGGTTGTTATACCATTATTAAAAGGCAGCTATGTTGTTTTTTGCTACCTCTTTAAGAAAGGTTCTAGACTTCCCCAGACGAAGTGAATAGTTTGCTGTTTTCTCTATTACTTTACCTCATAGACAGTATCTGTCTTCAAAGACAATGTTAAAAACCCCACAACCCCTTCCTGTAAGAGGATGTGCAAAGTTCTATCAGCAGAGGTCCTTAACTAAAAAATATTAATTCCTGAACTTATCCTCCTCTGCTGTGAATTAACTGTAACTTTGGGCTTATATTTGCGTTAAAGATGATATACTTGCAAACTGTTTTCTGTTGCTTCTCTGTTTTTAATCATTAAGAGCATATGAAAGAGTAGCTGGACATTATCCTGATATTAAGTGAATTTTTAAAAAAATACAGAACCTAATCAACAATCTGTATTCCAAAATTATGTTTACAGTACAGAAATGTCAGCATTATATTGGATCTAAATTTATATTATAAGCAATAAAATGGTAGAAATTAATAAATTCATGATATTGACAGAAAATTTAAATGTTCTGGAGCCAGTAAGTAAAACTGCTTACTACAGAACCTATTTAATTTGTATATTTCCCCCATTTATCTCATTCTAATGTACTTGGAACTACTGTACGTGAGCAGCATCCTCTCTGCTTCATGCAATTTCTTCCCACTTCCCTGCTTGGGAGCAGCGTCAGAATGGCTCCTTGGGGACCTGCTAACAATGCCTGCATGTGTAGTTGTGATTTGGCAGTTTATACAGACAGATTTTTTTTAATTTTTTTTTTTTTGGCTATTAACGCTGGTCTGGTGGGTAGTTTAAGCGTACGTTTGTCTAGAGAATGAAGAGTTAAAAGCGGGCTGTGAAAGGCTTTGGCAACCTAGAGGGAGCTAGCAAGCTCCAGCCGTGACTCATTCTGCCTGTGTCAGTCAGATAAGCATCAGCATCTGTCACGAATGCAGGCAGGTAGGGTTAAACTCCGAGCATGCAGAGAGTGAGGAGCGGGGAGCCTGCACTGCAGGGGTTGTAATATTTGTTCCCGGTTCTTCAATTCTCATCAGCCCTTCAGCTACAGGAGATCTATACTGGATCCATGGTAACGGTTTTAGCACACTACACTTCCATCAGCTTGTGACAATGGGCTGTGTTCTAGTTGCTGACTGAAGAGCTGTCTCCTTTACAGAGCAGAAAAGAGATTAGTAGATTTGCAGTGAGTGAGGACCTGAGTGATGAAATAAATAATAATAAAAAAAATCTTAGAAAACGTGATTTAATGAGGTAGGAATTGCACAGCAGGCTTTTGCATTCATTCCTTTCACACACGTAGCCAAGCCAGCAGGTAGCTTGGGTGCTGCACATCATTGAGAAGAACTTGTTCTTTTGTTCTGTCGGTTAATTAAACTGAAGCAAATGTAAGAGAATGAGCTGAAATTAAACAACTGCTTAACAAGTTAAGTGGTACCAATTTAGAAATTATAGTAAGAAATACATTGTCATTCCTGCTATTTATAATTCTCTTCAAGAGATGATTGTATCAGAGCCAGACTGCAGTGGTGTCCCGACAAGAGTTCCAGATCTAGCAAGCTCTTTCAGAGAAATAAAATCTTTCTGATATTTCTTCCCTTCCTGAAGACTAGTTAGCTTCTAGTAGCTATAGTTTATTAGAATCTTCCAGGAGAAAGATCAGTTTGCTGTTGATTAGAAGCCTGTGCTGGGAAGATTCTTGGTAGTATTAAAGGGTAAATATATCCCTCAGCTGACTAACAAAGGATCAGGCTACATTCTCGTGTAGTGTCACTAACTGGATAGGTTGGAGACATTTTCTTTTTCCAGATGAATCAGAATTGAATTACTTTTAGCTATATTACAGTGATTATTTTCATAGCCAGGTGCTTTGATTTGATTCAATGTATGTGTCTAAAAAAAACAACCCCTAACCTGGAAAAAAACCCCACCAAACCCAACAATCTCAGATCCCCAACCTAAAACCCAGTTTAATCAGTGTGGGAGACATTCTGCCTGCAGAGTGGTAGCCATGTTGGTAGCTTAAGGGTTAATCTCTTGTTGCTGTAATACCATTTGAGAGCAGCAGCTCAGTCTGCTTGTGTTAGCAAGATTAAAAGCAGGAGCTGCAGTGCCATTGCAAGCACTGAATGAGTGGGACTGTTGCAGAGTGAACTGTAGCTGAATTTTGTCTTTTCTTCTTGCTTTTTTCACCAGCTCCTCCCCCCTTCGTTCCTACTCTCAAGTCTGATGATGACACCTCAAATTTTGATGAACCAGAGAAGAATTCGCGGGTTTTATCCTCTACGCGCCAGTTGAACCCAGCAGGCTTCTCTGGTGAAGATATGCCGTTTGTGGGGTTTTCATTCATCAAGGCGTTGGGGATCCTCAGATCAGAGTAAGTAGGAATTACTGCTTAGGTGGATAGGACCATTGGAAAAATGTGAAGGTTTGTTACAGTGAGGATGGTGTGTGTGGGGAAAAGCTGTTTTAACTGGCCTGTACTCTGCTTTAGGGAAGCTGCCAGATTCTGGCTTTATCTGTTGCTGGCTGTGGCTTGTGCATGTCCTACCATTCTGTGATTATTTCTGGGATGAAGGGGAGGGAAGGGAAGGAAAAGATTGATTCTAAACCAGTTATCATTAAAATTGTTGTTCAAATACTTTGAATTAGTTGTTGCTGTTAGCCAGGGAGAAGTAGGTGATTTCATTTCTGGTATTGCAGATCCCTGAAAGAAGGAGAATACTGAGGAGTTCAGAGATGGAAAAGGCGGGGGGTGTTATTTTATTGGGTCAGAGAGTGGGCACCAAGTGCTGGGGATGTGTAAGGCTGAATCAGTGATCTACAGAAATGGAGCTCCACTAATCTGGGAATGTGCAGTGATGGGTCAGTGAACGAGAGAAGGAGCTTCATGGCAGCTCGCTGTGTGCTGTTGGGTCAAGTTAAATACGAAGACTGGACAGTGCTGTATTGTGTGTTAACAGACTGGAGATTCAGATGAAGTATGCGAGGGTGTGTGTTTGGGGAGGGAGGTACAGATCTAGAAAAATGGTTTTCAATTGAAAGAAAACATGCTTTGTGAGAGAATGGAGTCGGAGAAAAAGAAGAATATAAATAGTATGGTATAAACCATTTGGTGTGGTGGGTGGTTAGTTTCTGATGACAGAGCTATTGAAAAAGTATTAGTGCAGTATGTTAAGTTGAGAAGTCCTTACCTCAGTATCATGAGGCCTCTCAGGAATGCAATGGCTTTAGCTGGGTTAGTGACTCAATGCACTAAGGCGCTGTGTTTTCTTGTCAACTGTCGTTCATTGCTGCTAGTTAGTTCCCTTAAGGGGCTTCGTTGTCAATCTGTCTTAATCAAGTTTTCATTTTTTTTGTCATATTGGTTGTGATAGTTGCTCTGCGGTAAGTGTGTAACCAAATCTGGTGATACTGTTGACATCTTTGATCTTGCCTACACCATGAATCAAGGTTACGTGATGGTTATGCCAGTAATAAAAAGGGAATCTGACTATCCCTCCTCAGCAGAGTTGCTTTTATGACAAAAGAGGAAGGAAAGGAGAGGACATAACAACCAAAAAAGTATTCTTCTGGTGAAATGATCTAATATTGTCAGCAGAATTAGAAAAATGGAATGTTATAACTGTAGATACCTGGGGTTAAAATCTGTCTTGTTTTAGAAGTGAAATAACTTAAGGTGTTATCTTTTCTGCCTGGGGAACTGCAATCCATCTGTCAAGGCTACATGACCATTCATGTAACAGTCAGAAGAGGCTCAACAGTGACCGTATATGTATGGTAAAAATGTATATGTAACCGGGGCCCAGGACTAGAACTGAAGAGGTGTGTGAGGTAGTCTCAGGAACAGTGGTATAACTGTGTTGGAGGTTGAAGGCTAAAAAGTAATATAGATATAGCAAATTGATTGATGTGCTTTCTTTGTGGAGCTACTACTAAAAATGCATATTGAAGTTATATTTGAATTTTGGTAATATATGAGAAGGGGTATAGCAAAAGAATATAGAGATTAATGTGCTCTGGAGAAATTTTGACTGAAGCAAAATTTCTGCTTGGTGTGGCCTGTTTTTTTCTGAGCTGGAACAGAAGGACATCATGTACTTAATTTTCCCCCAAATAATTTTAATATAAGTAGATCTTAGTGCTTTCTTTTTTAGAATGGGATCTCGATAAATGCGCTTTGATATTTTTATCAGTAAATACTTGCATTTTGTTCTAAGAAGGTGATTTAAATATGGCAAAGAGTATATGGAGACTTGAAAATATCTGTGTTTAAGTAATGCAGTGACTAGTTTATTCTCAATATCACTGCAACACTGGGTCATAAAGATAACTTCTTACTTATAAAATATTGTGTGGTGTATGTTTTACTTGAGGAAATAAAATACTGTTTCTGTCACACTACCTTGAATATCAAATTCTAGATGGGGAAGAGAACGGTAAATGGAGGGTAGGCTTATCTGTTGTGAATCTTGGTATGTCTTCTCTGGGAGGTCCTAAGTCATCAAGTTTATCAGTCCAGAATTTTTGTTCTTAAAATCTTTCCTCCGAAAGTCTAACCATTATGGTTGCTAAGTGATGCAGATCTGTTTTTCTGTGTCTGCAGCATGATAGCTCTAATGCCTCTAGTGCTGCTCACAGTTAGGCCAGGCAACTGCAGAGTGCCATTAACAAGGTCCTTGAAACTTTCATTGCTTTTAATTTGAGGGCTGTCAAGATATGAGTTTAGGGTTATACCCTTGCCCTTGTTCACTGGACAGTAAGAAGCCATAACTGAGCTCAGAATTTCAAATACTTCAGAGAAAAGGCAGTTTAAAAAAAAAAAAAGGACAGAAGTATGAAGGAAGTTCTCTTTTCCATTCTCCTCTTTCTCCCAACCACTCAGGGTTGGAAGGGTTCACCTAAGTCACTTAGACCTGTTGCTGGAAATTATATAGTCAGTGTGTGGTTTAGAAGGGTCCACTGAATTAAAATGTCCTGTATGTTGCCCCATACTATGAGTTTTGAGAAGAATTTGTGACCCTATAACAAATGTAAGATTTAATAAAAGAGCAAAAGGTGTGACAATAATGCATCATAGGAAGCAATCAGGAGAAATCAAGGGCATTGCTTCTGTCATAGGTTTCTGTACTAGTAAGGTGTTTGTTAAATAAATGTCCTACGTGATTCTAAGAACTAGGATCAGGCTGCAGAGAAGGACCAGCTAACTCCTCCCGTTATGGCCTCTGCATTCTTGATATGGGGGGAGAAATGCCTGTCTGACTGCAAATCTGGCTGCTGGTTTGGCTGCGAGTGTGTGACTGTGACAAGGTAACAGGCAACTGAGAGTTTAATTCCATTAAAAGCCAGCCCCACCTTACATCTTGTCCCTAACTATGGCTGTTCTCCAGTGCTTAGAACAAGTGAGAAAAACCCTTAGAGGCCAGAAATAAGCATCAAGTGGTGAAAAAAAATTGTTCTTGTCCTTTGCAGGTGACTAGCAGAAGCCCTAAGGCATAAGATAACTATATTATAAATCCAGGGATAACCAAATATACTAAAATACCTAATAAAAATAAATACCTAATAAAATATACCAAAATACCTAATAAAAAATAAATTCCTAATTAAAAAAATAGTTCATGTTGTATATTTCTGCCTGCCCCTGTCCTCTCTTAGACTGGAGTAAGGAGCTAAAGAGGTCTGACTAATTACGATACAAAACTTATGTTAATACAAAATACGTGCTAAACCAGAACATAGAGACCTCGTCACAGGCAAGGCTGACAGTGGGACTAGTACCTAATCTCAGTTGCCGATATAGGTTGTTTTTTTTTTAATTATCTATCAGAATATAATAAATGTAATCCTAATAATTCTTGAATTGTGGTCTGTGAGGCTTTGGTAGATGGTCCAAATCTTTTCTGTAAGTTCCTAAGAAGTGGTATTTTTAAAGATTTTTTTTTTTTTATAATTTTAAAATTTGATATGGATCCGTGATTGTCATTATAAAATACTGAGAGTTAAAATGGGCCATTCATCCAAAAAGAAGGACTACCGATTTCTTCCAACAGTTTGTCAGGTTCTGGTAAACTCTTTCACCAAAGATAGATTAAAGAGGAAGCACAGGATGAGCATACCAAAAATATGCTTTGCTTCAGCTAGCTCTATTCACAGATTGATGGTATCACTGTTTGTTTTTGGTTGGGTTTTTTTTAGGCCTGAGCAAGCATTTACGAGGGGGCGGAAGGTACAGATGAGTATAATGCTAAAAAGAATAGAGCATGAGGGACGGGGGTTGAGATTATAGGCATGTTGTGTGGGGGCCAGGATTAGGACAGATGGTGTCAATTGTGAGAAGGAAGAAGCACAGGTGAGTTGGGGGTTTATGAGAGTGGCATAAAAGAACAAAGGAAGGTATGAGGTGTGATGCGCAAGAGAGGTTAAGATATGAGTTTGATACCCCAGAATCATCTTATAGCTTTTCCTGTACTAATACTTTTTTCTTCTTCCTCCAGTCTTAGTATGGTGAGAGAAGCTTTTACACAGCTAGCACCAGATAGTTCTGCTGGTCGAGGCTGTTGCTGATCTAGCTGTGAAATCACTAGATAGTCAGCTGTAAGTTAACTTGGTTTTTAGTCATGCAGGCAGTGCTTCTTTTGAAAGTAAATTGGCACAGCTAGTGCTATCAGCACTTGGTGCTATAGACGACTTTTTTTTTTAATCTTTTATTGCAATTTTCTTGTTGATGTATGCTGGTTACCTTTTGTTAATCTTTTTTTCACACTTCAGAGGAAACAGTAGAAACTGCTCTGTTGTGCTAAAAGAATTGATCCAGATGTAGCAGTTAATTAAATGAAATATTCTGAGATGGTACCAACCTGAATGATAGCTTTGCATCATGGCTTTTGATGTTGGATTGTATGTATTTAATTTCTGAGATGATGCTGACTGAGGAAGAATCTAAGTGCCCCAGCAACGTGGGTATTTTCCACCTTGTCATGCTGTGTTGAGAGCTTATATCACCCTGACAAGGCTTATTAGATTAGTCACTATTCCATTTCTCTTGATTTCCTCTGTCTGCCCCCTTTCTGATACTTTGAAGGTTATATGGATGTTCATGAAGTTGTTCTAATATAATTTGTACCCAGGAAAGAATTACTGGGAAAGGATGTCTGTTAAAAACTGTGTGTCCAGTGCTGACTGAAGTCAGCTTCACTTGGAGATAAGATGTACTGTTTCTGTGACAAGAAAATCGTCGTGTCACCAGGACATATGTTTTAAGGAATTTCTTCCTCCTTTTGCACGGGGATGAGGGAGAAAGATTGTGGTTCTAGTTTGTAGCCTTCTCTTTCCTCACAAAACCGGCACCAACCCTGAGGAGCAGCTCCCTCTACAGTCACCTGAATGAAATTCAAACTTCGGTCAATGCAAGTCTCCTGTGCTCTATCCCATCCCATAGCTCCTGGCTGAACAACGTGTCTCTGCAGAGCTCTGTATCTTCTTGCCTGAATCTGTCCTTTTACTTCCTGTGTTTGCAGTGCATATGGATGCTTTAATCTGGCTTGCTAGGAGAAATTTTTGAAATGCAAAATGGTGCCTGTAATATTAGGCTCTGATTCTTTTATTAGCAAATAAAATAAATAAGCAGAAATAACAAATAAAATTAGCCCTTTTAGGGAGGTGAAATAGAAGTAGCAAATAAAACCAGGTCTGTGAAAACTGGCTAGAGTTTTCTTAGGTAGTGTCTCAGATTTGAAAAGAATAAAAGTAAAAAGGTGATGGCTAATGTTGAAATTATAATTAAAAAAAAAATTACTTTAGCCAGTACAGTTCAGAGCTGTAAAGCTATATTTTTATTATAAAAAGATTTTCAGACTTGTCTTAGTACACATTTGCAGCTATTTACATAAATTTGATTAACATTTTAAAGCAGATTCCTTAGTGTCTTTTTTAGTTAATGTGAGCTTTAATTTGTATTTTTAGACTGCTTTTCTCAACTATTCATTTTTAGCCTTGTTTGTACACCCAGCTGTTATGGGATTTAATATGCATCTTTCTCAGATGGTTGCCTTTTCTCTGTAGGAGTATAGACACGCTTTATAAATTGATTTTTAAATATGGTAATCTGATGGGTCGGATGGATTGGACTAGGACTAAAGGAATGCTTTACAAAAGCATTCACTTTTAACATTTGTTTTTTATTAAGTCCTGATCATATCTGTATTGTCGATGTGCAGGATTCTTTCTTCTAAGTTTTTCCACATCAGGTTTCTGAAGAAATATTAATATTTGACCTTGCAAGGCAAAATTGGTGAATTTTGCTATGTTTGTTTGCTAGTATCAAACCAGTGTTTCCTAATGACTGCTTAAGGTGGTGGTACTGAAGATCTGTTTTGATACAGTTATGCTGCAGCATTTTCATAAAAATCCATGTGTCTTTTTTTGTGACTATCCTGCATATCTATTTGGATTACAGAGTAGATTTTTCTCAGAAAATGGTGGTGATGGAATCAAACTTTTCTTGGTGTTAAGAAGAGACTGTGCTGCTGTGTGTGGGTGTATGGCTATATGCAGAGAGCTGCTCAAAGCTCATTTCTCTCCATGGGGATAACTGGCTGCATACCAAACTGTGGCCAGGAGAAGCAGAAAGCAATGTGTGGGCAGACTGTATGATCTTTTATTAGCACCTTCATTGTACTTCTGTGTTTTCATCTATCACTTAACACTGGTTCCATCACTAACTGCTTAAATATCTAATTTGAATCATTTTATGTGAGGGAGAATGTGATTTTTAAAATTATGTTTTGATGTGTGTACTTAATTTTTTGGTTGAAAATTACATATTTAAGACTGCAAAGCACTAAAAATATGCTCCAAGACATTGAGTGACTTCCCATCCTTTTCCAGAAAGAATTTAGACTAACAGAAATGGTAAACTTCTTAAATGTTGAGTCCCAATTAGACAGAAGGCTTAAGAACATGTAAATATTTCCCTCAGGTTTCTGGAGTCAAATTGTTTGAAATAGTACAGTTAAGTTGTGTCTCATGAAAAAAAATTACTTATAAGTGGAACTCTGAAGTTCTGCAGTGTGACTAATCATATTGATATTGATTGAGTTTGTAGGGATCATATGAATTGGGTTAGGAAAGTTTCAGTTCAATTTTGATTCACAGAAGGTAGCTAAGGATGTTAAATTCTTCTTCCTGTGGTGCAGATTATGACATGTTAAAGTTTTTAGGGCTTTTGTACTACTTTGATGATAATTTTAAAACCTTTTTAAAAATAAAGTACAAAATAAAAAGCAATTCTCTGAAAATTTGTTATCTTTCCAAATGGTTATATTGACTTTATGCTTTGTTTTTGTTACATTTATAAATCCGTACAAGTTATGTGAATGTGTTGCTGTGATTTATTGTTTTGCACTCTAACATCGAAGTCACTGATGGAAAATATAAATATTGTAACTAGATGTACACATGGATTATTTAATAATGATGTACTGTCATCAGGCTTTATGGAATGTTTGATCTGAAATGATGGCTGTTAGACTGTGATTGCTGCCCTTTTCTTTTATCCTGGTATAAGTAAGTACCCAATGACTTTACCAAGGCTGCATAAATGCAGATTTCTGTATCTTTTGCCTATATTCATGTGCTGTTTGGCTTTGCTCTTTTAGATCTGTTTTTTCAAGTGTGGATTCTCCAGCCAAGATCAGCTCCATGGAAAAGAAACTACTTCTCAAGAGCAAAGAACTCCAAGACGCTCAGGACAAGTGTCACAAGGTATTTATTTAGGCGATTGGCCATCTCCATTGCTCCAGGAATCTGCAACCACTGTATGTCCAGGGATCTGTCAGATGCTGCTGATCATCCAGACTCGTGGTGGGCAAAGTGCTTTTCCTTCAGTGAGGTGGCTTCCTGTCCAATACAAAGGGAGATGAATTTAGGCCATGCTGTTGCTCTAGATACTTTTATCTTAACAAGAAGCGGCTCTGGATTTTAAACAGTCCTTTTCTCAGCGTGACACAGACGACTGCTTCTGCCTGCAGGCCGTGCCTCTTCATCATACGCACAATTACAGCAGTACTGTTCTGAGGTTCTCTTCCTAACTCATCAGCTTCTACTTACATAACTGTTGTCACCTCACTGATTACAGTGAACATCTTGTAACAGTTGCTGTGCTCCAATAAAGGGAACCCGGTGGAGTCTTTTAAAACTTACTGCTTGTTTGAGACTTTTATGAGAGTTCAATTACTTTTCTTCCTGCTCTGTTCTGGATTTGACCATTTGCTCCTGACAAGGAGATGGGGGGAAACCATCTTCTGGTCCAGCATGGATTTGGGATAAGGTTAAAGTAACCCATCTCTGCAAGTCAGGTGAAAAATGATTGTATCTTCTTTGCTAACTGGGGTTCGAAGAATGACTGAATATGAACAAGCAGCTTGAATGAATGGGGTGACTTAGACTTACTACTTGTCCTTAAGAAGAACTGTGCGTTCCTGGAGCAGAGACAATGGTATTGGAATTTAAACACCATTTGGAGAAACATAGCTAGAAGTCTCTTGGAGACAAATTCCTTACAGAGCTCTGAAAGTAGCAGTTAACAAAGCTTTTGAAGCACCCTTTATAACCTCTTGATATTTATTGCAGATGGAGCAGGAAATGACGCGTTTGCACCGGAGAGTGTCAGAGGTGGAGGCTGTACTTAGCCAAAAGGAGGTGGAACTGAAAGCCTCTGAGACCCAGCGATCCCTCCTGGAGCAGGACCTGGCCACCTATATCACAGAATGCAGTGTGAGCCCTTACACCAGTCCTTTCAGCTCTGAAGGCCTGAAATCTGGTGGTCTTTGCCTTTCTCTTCCATCATGGTTTCAGTGGGGTACTTGATGGAGAGAAAATAATATGTGAGAGAATATCTGTTGAACATGGAACCCTGAATTTTTTGCAGAGGCTTGCTTGATAGTTTTAATCAAACTTTGTTTCATGGTCATGTGCTTAGAACATACAGGAATGACTACTGTCCTGGTCTTGCTGAAACTATTTGTGATGTTTGTCTTACTGGTTGTGCTAGAACATGCTTGGGTTTAACTTCTTGCAGGTTTCTTAGCCATAAGAGGATGGGGCCTAGTCAGTACCTAGACAGAAATCTTCAAGGACAAATAAGAGGATTAGGAAACAATGGTGTTTCCCCCATCTGTGGTATTGTGAGTTCAGACTGATCCAGTTCCCCAGCATAATGTCAGGGATGATGCTAGGACAGATGCTATTTTTCAGGTAGAATATAAAAATAAGGCTGTAAAACCATGTCTTCAAAGATCATTTGGCATTTTTCATGGGAGCTGGAATGTATGCCCAGTTGTCCTGGCAAGATTCCAGTGAGGATATTTTCATTCTAGTTAATAGTCTCTGTATTTTCAGTTGGATATAATAGTCTGTTTCCTCTCTTGTACCAGGAAAAAAAATCCAAATAATACTCTGTTTCAGAGAATTGAAAAGCATTTCTGATGGGTTTGTTTGTTGGGAAGCATATCTTAAAATGGGGCTGAGTGATTTTCCTATACCAAATGCTACTAGGTAAATAAATAAAATTCAGTTTGTATCTTTCTGTTGAAGAATAATACACAGTTGATAGGAGGACCACTGGTCTGTCAAAATTTGCAGGTAAGGTATGTGGTGAGATACAGAAGCAGCTCTTCTGTTCTCTGTAGAAGTTTCATGATGATTAAAGGATTTAACTCACTTAACAGCAACAAGAAAAATGAATAAGCTTGTTAGTAACATGAAGTTGAAGGATTGTATCTAGGTTGTGAATTAATAGTGCTAGATAAAATATACATAAATGCTGTCAATAATGGATGTCTTTTGTGATCTCTGGTTTTTGTCTCTAAACCTAATGTGAGGAAGCAGAGATTTGAACTAAGATTTAAGTGTAGTAAACAGTGTTTGTAAAATGGGCTGCTTCTATCCAGATAGAAGCAGCATTGGCCATGAATTTCTTTAGGGTTCCATCATTGGTGCCTCGATTTTTTTTGATGCCTCACTGCAGTCAAGGAGGCATTTGTATAGCTAAAGGTCTTTATTATACAGCCATCTGAAAAACCAAAGACTATGTATTGAACATTTTGCTTTCTGCAGAGCTTAAAGCGAAGCCTGGAGCAGGCACGGATGGAGGTGTCTCAGGAAGATGATAAGGCACTACAGCTACTTCATGATATCAGAGAGCAAAGCAGAAAACTGCAAGAGATCAAAGAACAGGTATACCTGCTTCTTCGGGGAGCAGAGTGGCTATCTACAAATAGATATTCTTGGCATATTCTAGCTGTTGCCAGGATTACGTTTTATGTTGGTAGGCTGTGATGACTCCCAATCTGTGTGTTTTCACATGGTTTCTTAAACAAAATGGTAAGCAACAAAATTACACTTTTGTGTGTATTGCAAGTAAGCACAAACTCAAAACTTCCAAGTTTTTCTTTTCCTAGTCCGGAAAGTACTTTGTCTATAAAACCAGCTTAGGAGAAAGTTGCAGTGCTTCAGTAATGTGCTGCATTAGAAATGAACTATGCATTTTAAATGGTCAAGCTATACAAATTTCACAACAAGTTAATGAATCTTCACCTGAAAGAGAACTGAGCTAGCCTTAATTTTGTGTTGTTTTTTCTTCTTCTTTCTTATCTGATTATTTTAAATGCTTAATAGTCTTTCAAAATAGAATCTGTGTTGCCTAACCGTTCTTTTGCTAATTTAATCTATTTGCAAAGTAGATGTTCATAATTTTTTTCCACTAGAAGAATATTGAAAATTCATTAATCCATACAATTGTTCATAAGGAAAAAAATGTCAAAATTAAATGAAAATATGGTGACAAATGTGGACATTTTTAGGACTTAAAATGGTCTACAAGACAGAACCCATTCAGTTTTATGAATTAATAGCAACACATTGTGTTAAGAAAAAGAAATTGAAATTTGCTATGACGTTCAAACAATTCTTTGCAATTTTCTGTTGTTTTTCATCTTCAAAGCACTTTACAAACATTAATTGACTAATTCCGTAGTGTTTGAGACAAGGAGGCCCAGAAACCTTGGTAATAAATCTCCAGACATGAGCAGCTCTTACGTAAAAAGTAATGAAATGCAAAAACAACCCTTGGGATGTAGCAGGCCTCCATAGACTTCTTACAGCTTTCTTCTAGCTGGTTGTTTTATGTCATACAGGGGATCTAAAGCTCATTACTCTGTGTTCTGGTGCTTTGTTAGCAAAGTTGTTTTAAATACTGAAATGTGGAACATTTTGGGTGATGATAAATATCAATAGATTCTTAGGCAGTATGTATACATGTAACAGAGGAAAAATAATGCAGGTAATTTTTAATCAAATATTTTGTCCTAGAATCTCTTAATTTGGCTTGTGAAGATTCACGATGACATGAAAATGCTGCTTAGGTCAACAAATGAATCTGTAATGTCCTGCAGACTTTCACATCTGAGGTGGTCTTCTGAGCTACCTGAAACCTATGTGCAAGAACACCGCAACAAAACATGCAGAGATGTTTTTGCTGACTCATACCAGCAGGTGGACCTTAGCCATTAAAGACTTGGATCATTATTTTTAAGTCAGAGGGAACTGGGAGGTGAGATGGAAGAGCCCCTTAGAGTTTTGGTGTTGAAAACCTGAAGCTTGAGAGGAACAAGTGAAATTGACAGCAAATCAGAATCTTCAAAATCCAATAATTAGGCATTTGGTATTTTCAGGGCAAGACTGTAGGTTCAACTTAACACCAGGTACTTGAATAGAAGAGTGTGATGGGTTTGTAGTTTTTTGTTTGTTTGGGGTGTGTGCTTGTTGGGTTTTGGGTTTTGTGTTTTTTAAATAAACCCGTGTTCTGGTCATTACTTGATGGAGACCCATGTGAATGGATGAACTTGCAACAAATCAGAATCTATAATTTTTGAAAGGCCCACTCATTTGTATGTAGCTACCCTGATATGATTTGCTTCAGGTATATGTCCTGAGCTTTGCCTGTTCATTAATACGCACTTAAGTACATTTTGATAGTTTTTAAACTATGAGCAGTGCATATGCAAGAAGTATTGTTCTGTGTCGCCTTGAGTGATGTGGCCTGTTCCTCTGACCTGACCGTGAGATTTATTCAAAGATAGTCTTAAAAACATGAAGAAACAAGAAAAACTGAAATATTACTAATTGCTTCCTCTTCTTCCTTTTCTCCCTCCCTGTTCTCCTCCCTTCCCAAACACTCATTTTCACAGTGGCAACTGTAGTCATACCTGTAATTCTTTGGTCAAGTGTTTGCTTATATAAAAGCTGAGTATTTTAGAAAGTCTTAACAAATTATGATTTCTGAGCAGAACATGTATTCCTTCAAACCATTCTGCCTTTTTTATTCACAAATGTATTTGTATGAAATGAATATTTGAGTTAACGTATGCTCAGTTATCGTAAAAAGGCTGTAATTCTTTCCAGCAAGAAAGTAAGATCATCCATGGAAGGACTAACAGGCAAGACTAGGTCCCCTGTCTGACTTACAAACTGAAGAACCAATCTGGAAATTACAAACCAAAGAGCCATTCTGCCATGCTCCTCGTAATGGATAGTAAAGCAATCTGTTAAAGGCCCAGCTTCTTTAAATATCTGCATAAGCTCTCCATGTTGCTAGAGAATCATATGCTGACATTAGGGTCAGTGTTCATGCAGTCACTTGTCTAACTAAAGACAGTTGGCTGTCTGGAAGGAGTGATGACAAACCTGATTTTGTCATGAGACAGTTACTCTTTTGAATATGGAGGTAGTCAGGCATATTGTAAGATATTAAAATGGAAAGAAAGAGAGACTCCCCCACTGTCAGTCCTTCATAATATTTTTTCCTAGCTCTTGATGTGCATGTTTTCTACTTGTTCTCAGCTTCATAAAAAGTACTTTGGTTTTGGTTTTTGTTTGGGTTTTTGTTGTTGTTTAGAGTAATTTTATAAAATGTATACTTATGGGACTTAGTAAATGCTAAATAAACATAATCAAATTCTTTTTTTCCAGTGAAGGTACAAGAAGCAATCTCACAAGCTAATCTCAGTTTGAGTACCCAGTTTCATCGAGATAGTCAATTCAAATGTTCTTTTATTCTCCAACTTTCCCTATCCAAATGCCGTGTAGTGTCCTGCATGGGGAATCGTTATTTCTGCCTATATAGGCAAATATCTTCTATGGGCAATGTGATTTTTAGACAGTTTTTCTGAATTAATGTTTGATTTTAGGTTGTCTCCCACATGGAGCAATATGATACTTTTTAACTCTGTCAAGAGAAAATAAGTGACAGCTAGAAGCCACAGTATGCTACCCCTCTGCTTCTCCTTCTTTCCTTTTCCCAAGCTGTGCAGATCTGTGGTAATTGTCATGTTATCAGGGATGCATGTTGAGGGAGCATCCTGGCATTTAGTAGAGACATCAACTCAAAGGCACATTTCTGTTTCTGAAGTTAGAAATGTAAATATATTTATCATTTGTATGTAGATGTTTGTATGTGTTTCTGCAGTGAAGCCACTCTCAAAAGGTCAATGTTTTGACTTTATAAGGTATTGACTTGAAAATGGCAAGACTTAAACCAGAACACCATAGATATGTTATTTTATTTAGCTCTTATTGTTTTCTTTTGTACTTTACTTCTCTTCCACATATTTTTAAATGCACCTCTTGCCTGCAGTCAATATTCTGGGATCTGCTGCTCCACATATTTCCCCTGTTGCCTCTAAAATGTAATACCTTTTCCTTCCCTTCCACCACAACTACAGGAATATCAAGCTCAAGTAGAAGAAATGAGGTTGATGATGAATCAATTAGAAGAGGATCTTATTTCAGCTCGCAGGCGTAGTGATCTTTATGAATCGGAGTTGAGAGAGTCCCGGCTGGCAGCTGAAGAATTCAAACGTAAAGCTACTGAATGTCACAACAAATTGCAAAAGGTAGTTTAGGCTTCATGGGGGAGGGGGCTGATGCTTGCTTGAATTTCTAGTTCTGTTTTAGACACAGGCGAAAGTTGTGTGTGTGTGTGTCCTCTAAAGATTAGCATAGTTTGTACAATGAATACAAAATGTCTTTCAATTTTATGCTTGAAATAATGTAATTTATACTTTGTGTAAATGCTTGTGTTTTAATTGCATTAGTTGATGACTGGATAGAAGACCACTGTACTACAACTTTTCCTGAGACTTTTATATATTTTATATTTAAGTTACAGGTTAAAGATCAAGGAAAAAATGAAGCAGGAGAGTTGTATTCCAAATTGGAGAAGGTATGCTACTTCAGTGTCCTGGAGTTTGCTTCCTGAGTCTTTCATATTATGCACAAAAACCAAGAGTGTCTTTGGCTGGTCAATGGCATGCACAGCCTCACATCCCTCCCTATTTTTAAAAATTTTTTTTAAAAAAAATCTTTTTCTTGGTGTGATTCACTGTTCTTTCTGATTTGATATAAAGCTGTGTCTGGGTATCCTGTTCTTAATGGATGTGTTCAGAAGCTAGGCAAAGACAAGCCATTATGTGTAATCTGAGTTTGGAGTTAGGTTAGTGATACATAAGGGTTTTCTTTATAAATAAAGAATAACAAGTGAAAAATAAAAAGAATTCTGAGTATTCTCACACTGAACAATCTACTTGGTGACCAAAATATGAAATCAAGAAGTAAGTAAAATGGGAGTAGATTTGCCAAGGAGCATTTTGGTATGTTGGAATTTACAGGGAGGAACAAAGAGTTTTGGCAAGTGAATTAAAATAAATACAGTACCATAAGCAGAGAGCATTTTTTCCTTTTTGGTTTTATGACACTCTTTCCCCCATCTTTTTATTTAACTGTAGATCAATACAGAGCAGCAGGCCAAAATCCAGGAGCTGCAGGAAAAGCTGACAAAGGTAATGTCTGGGTGGTAAAAGTGAATTTTCCACAAGATTTTCCAGTGAAACCTTAATGCAGAGGAGGGATGCACTTTGTTTTATCCTCAAAAATAGAATTAGTCATAGCATGGGGGATGATAAGGAAAAGGGGGTGGGAACTGGTATCTGAAATCATTGGTGTTCTCAATATGCTTTCAGCTCTTGAGACATGTCAGCAGTGTTTATTTTTACAAATGAAGCTGAGTCAGAACTGGAGTAGTGTAGAGAAATTCTAATTTAAAAGGCCAGTTTGGGTACGCTGTATGCAGTGCATTGGTCCCTTGCTTCTGAAGACAGGATTCAGATGTTTTTAGTTCACTAGTGAAATACATGTTGGACTTGGTTTAGTCTCCCAGTATACTCTGTTTTAATTACAAAATCACTTTCCAATTCGGTTATTCACAGTAAAAATGTTGAATGATAAGGATTCACAACAGAATTAAAATACCTTAGCAATGTAAGCCGAAGGAAGTACATAATACCTAATGTTTGCAGTTGTGATCAGTCACTTAAGAAGGTGCTATAAGAACAGTAGAACTTCTCTTATTGGGATCTTTCAGCAGAAAAGAAAGTGGTTGTCATAAAAATCCACTGAGAGAGCTTTTCAAACTTGGCACCTACCAAGAGAGGGCTTTTTCAAGGGTTAGTGTTTTAGAATATGAATAGGAGGCCAAAACTATGTAGAAATAGCTCTTCTAATATTTCAAAATAGTCCTGTTTTAATCCCCTCTCCCCTTTTCTCCTTTCATTAATTCTAAGGAATTATCTGTAGGCCAACAAGTTATTCTCCTAGTGTTTTAGTAAGAGTATTTTGTTCTTTCGAAGAACTCGAGCTGAACTTGGGGGTAGGCTTTACTTTCAGTACGCAGAGACAATTAGAAACTTGCAGTACAGCAAGACAAACACGTAGATCTCCTGGATTTACATTTTTTTGTGAAACAGAAAAGAATTATGTAACAGAAGTTAGAATTTGGGTTCCTGCACATGGTTGTAGGTCTTAATTTTAGACTGCTAGGCCAAAGTTCTGTAGCAATTTTATTTAGAATGTTGACCATCTTGAATTTACGATCTTTTCACATACCAAGGTGTTTTTGTGTGTGTTTTTCTTATAATACCTGTCCCCCCGCCTTTGGACCTTTAGGCTGTCAAAGCTAGCTCAGAGGCAACTGAACTTCTTCAGAATATCCGTCAAGCAAAGGAGAGAGCTGAGAAGGAGCTAGAGAAACTGCAGAATCGTGAAGATTCTAATGAAAGCATGAAGAAGAAATTGCTTGAAGCGGAGGTGAGTGGAGAATGTCTTATCTGGAGTAAATTAGTTACTGGGATGTGTCTCAGTTTAGGAACCCTCATCTGGATGACTGTGAACAGCCTGTATTCCTGCTGAAACTATTCATGGGAAAGTGATGTTACATGTTAATCCATTTTTAATTAAAAAGCATATATTTCTTTGAAGAAAACTGAGAGGCTTTTTATTTACAGCGAGGAGTCAATAAGGACATTTGGTTTGCATAAGGCATTTGAGGTGTGATGAGGATGTCAAATATAAAAGACAACCATATATTGACTGCTTCAGCTGACTTTTTCTAGAAACTACTCATTGCTTTGCGACAATGCAGAGTTGGTTAGCCTAAATGGCAGTTAATAATTGCTCTACAGGAACGGCGCCATTCTCTGGAGAATCAAGTGAAGAGGTTAGAGACTGTGGAACGAAGAGAAAACCGTCTAAAGGAAGATATTCAAACTAAATCTCAACAGATTCAACAGATGGCAGAAAAAATTCTGGTGAGCAGAGGTGAAAATGAAAAATAAAGGGTAAGAGTTTGTAAGAAAGGGGTAGGAAAGGAACAGAAGACATAGAATTGCATTGAATAAGGTGGAAATTGTTGAGTAAAGGGATTTGTTTCTTGTGCCAGTCATACTGGAGAAAGCTTAAACACCCAAATTCTATTTGCACCTTTAGTTACAAACCTCACCCCTATACATTTAGTCTTTAATACTGCTTTAAAATTCTAGTTATCTCAGTGGGAGCACTTTTAAGTCCACTTAGTAATATTTAAATTAATTACCTAATGATTGTTTCAGGAGTAAAACATTCTCAGGACAGGATACTGTAGCAATAAAAACATTAAACTAAATTGCAAAGGAATTTAGAGGTCAGATCTACTTCAAATGCTTACATTTTGAAGCAGAGAGAAATTAGTCATCTAAACTGTTTGTCTCCAAAGATAATATTTGTCAGGAATCCATTTTCACCCACATACCTTCTCTGCTGGCAATTTCTCTCCTTGTTAAAACTATTAAATCTTTACAGCAAGTTGGTATGTCTACAGTGAACCAAGCAGAGGGTGTTTCTAATACTTTTACTTCCCTGGGACAGGAAGCATAATTTTATAGTGGAATAATGAAATTAATTTTGTGTTTCTCATGAGTTCTCTTTCTGTGTTGCCAATATGACAAGGAAAAAAAGATTACATTTTATTGGTAGCAATCCTGAGCATAGACACACCCGAGGAAGGCCAAATGGAAATGTACAAATAACAGTATTTGGAGTCAACAGATGACCCATACTTGTTCTGGGTAATAGCTGCATATGTAGACTTTAGCATCAGAATGCCTGAGCATTCTCAAGAAAAGGTAGAATCCGATCTTTAGTAGTGCTCTTTCTTTCAAATTGTTTTGATAACCTGAGTGCATGGGAAGTGAGAGACTATGGTTTTTGCTGGGCACAGAGCCAACTTTATGTTTAGAAATAGTGTAAAACTTCAAATTGTTTCATAAGCCTCTTGTGTATATTTGGGGATTGTTCACTGGTTTTGATTACGTTCTCTGTGGAGGGAAAACTGGAAGGGAAGGCAGAAATACCAACTAATTGTTTTATACCATGGGATATGTTTAGCTCTTCTTATAGATAGCTTCCATGTAGTTCTGACAGAATGTTGGAGACATATGAAAGTAACTTTATAAAATAAGTCAAACAGGCATTGAAGAAATAATCCTACAGAGTCTTTCCTAGTCCCTTGCAGCTCTGATCTGGGAGCTTGGGGTAAAGTTTTCTTTTTTCTCTACTTCTACCCTGTTCCTTCCTTCAAGTTGATCTCTTCAAACACTTTTTGACTTTTCCTGGTACAGAACGTATAGAAAGGTAGGAAGAGAGCTGAAGATACAGAATTGCATAGAATAAGGTGGAAATTGTTGAATAATGGCATTAGTTTCATGTACACTCATCTAGCAGTACCTGAGAAGTACCTGCTGATCTGCCTGTAGAGAATTGAATAAGAAGTAGTAAGAAACAAGTTAGAGAAGATACTTATTACTGCTTGAAAGTGTAGATCATTGCTATGAAGCTAATAACAAAGTTAGCACTACATAGAGAATAGTAAGCGAGAACTGGAATGGTAAGAGATTACCTTTTTAAGCCCACACTGGCTGTTAAGTGCCACTGCAGAAACTGGTGAAGCTTCTGCTACAATATGAGCAGTCTGATGCTGATAGCTTTGAAGCTGCTGCTGATCTGGTTGTCTGATTCTCTGCCAGGACCCGAAACGTGTGGGCTTCTGGGGGAGGTGAGTTGTCCCTCTTGTTGCTGGGAGACATATTTCAATTGCAAAAAGCAGCAATCTCCATTCCTTGCAGAAGTGTCGGGTAGTAGGCACTGTAGATGACCTACTTTTGGTGAACCTCCTCTTTGATTCTCACTTCTGGAAAAAGAGGTCTATCGCAATTACTGGAGCAAAAAGTCTTTGTATGTTTTCAAGATGAGGAAGATCAGAAAAGAGAATATGAGAAGAGCTAAACCAGAAATATCGGGAAATTTTTCTGTGCTATGCAGTAATGAAGGCAGACAGGAGACCTGGATGCATCCCAAAACCTGAACTTGTCTATGCAAGAGTCAACCCAGTGGTAGTGAATGACAGACCTGGATCTGCCTCTTGTTCTAAGGAAACTGTTGGAATGGCAAATATGACAATGAATGAGCATAAAGTTCTAAGCTCAACTCTTGCGAGGTGTCCTGTTGAAAGGTGATTATAGATATAACCTGGATAATATAGTCAGACAGCAGAAATAGCTAACTTCTTAGATACAAAATCATTTAAGTCCTTACTGTGCATGGCTCAAACTATCTGATGTGAAGAAGTTAAAAATACTCTGGTATGTTCTACCATATATGTTGCATCCTGCACTTTTCATTTTCCAAGCAATTTATAAATAGTTATTCTGACAACATCTGTCTGAGGAATATAGCAAAGTAAATGCTATTCCCACTCTATGAATGTAGAATGAAAAGCATAGACAGCAGTGGCCCATTATTGAGGTCTTCTGTGAGAAAACAAGTGAGAGATCTTGTTAAAAATAGATCTGAACTTCATGTGATGCCACTGCAGCTATAAAGTGTTTATAACTGCTTGTTTTCACAAAACATCCTTGGCCCATCTTTGGGAATGTTTTACTGGGAAATGGAGATTCTTACTGTGGAAGTAGAAGTCTTTGTCTTTAGTGGTATATCTGCTCTACAGTAGATGGGTCAGCAGCAATATGCAAAGCTTAAAACTGATTACGTGCAGCTCTTGTAATGTTTTTTTTACTATGACAGCCCCAGTTTGGGGATTTTTATGGTGTGAAGCCTTAAAAAAGAGAATGAATAGAATGTTTGATACCTGTTTAATGCATACACACAGCGCTTACTATTTCTTTGTGTCTGAATATGAATCTCTGCTGCTTTTAGGAGCTGGAAGAAAAGCATCGCGAGGCTCAGATTGCAGCACAACATCTGGAACTGCAGCTGAAACAGAAGGAACAATTCTATGAGGAAAAACTCAAAGTAAAAATATCTTCTTATCTTCCTACAAGCTTTTGTAGATAGAATGAGTTCAGGGAAAAACAGTTGCCTTTAGGCTCCAATTGCTTTGTCTTATAAGTTGCCTTCTTGCTTACCACTACTGAAATGTTCAGAGAGCTTAGTGGAATCTGAATAAGTTTTTCTTCTAGTCCGTGCCATTGTACCTTATCTGTCTTTAGCACTGCATTAAAACAGGTGGCATCTGAAGTCAGAACTATAGGAAAGCAGTTGTTGATTGTAATTTGACTATTGCTGACTCAATAATACTTACTTAATGCTATTGGATCTCACATCCTGAAAAAGCTTTCAGTTCCTACTGGTGATTTTCTATGAGTATTCACATAGCCTACCTGCAAGTTTTAAATTCAGCAAATACTAGAGCGTTTCTGAAATTCCATCTTCTTGGAGCTGTAACATCTGCCAAAAAGCCACAGAAACCACCCACTTTGTTTTTGTCTTTTCCAGGGTAGCATAAGACTTTAACAAACAGTTAGAAATAGAATCATAGACACCATCTAAAATTAGGAAAAACAAATTGGGAAATAGGAGTGTGTGCACTGGCTGAGGATTTTTCTAAAGAACCTGCAGTACGTCAGCCAGTAAATGCCTTTTGTTAGAATCTTTATTTCTACTAAGCATAATCTGTTTTCAGCAATCTTTATCTACTATGTTTACCTAGGACTTTAATTCTACATTTCAGCTTAAATGTGAGAGGATGTAGTATTTAAGAGGTGAGAAGAAATTTCTATGGGAGAAATGTAGAGGAAAAAAGAGAAGTAAGAAGGTTTCCTGGCAGACCAGAGCATGTGCTAATCAGTAATGAGAGGAGAGTGATAGAAAGCAGGAAAATCAGAGGTAGACGTTGGGAAGGGGGATGTGGTGACATAAAAACCAGAAAAGTGGATAGGGATTGGAAAAAGAATTAAAAGGAAGAGACCCAATGTATTACAGGGACATATGATATAGGATTTAGTAGGAAGAATCAGGAAGCCAGGTGAAAGAGGTTCAAAGGGGTGAGAGAGGACATGGGAAGTTTGTAACTGGAACAGTAGAAAATATCCTGTGGTTGTCCCGACTCTGTGCTTTTGAAAACTTGTCTTTGAAGGAAATGACCTTCACTTTAACAACTGATTTAAAGTTCTGAACATACATAACATGCATTTTTTTTTAAAAAGTAACATATAGTTACTTCAGTCCTGTTCCTAATGACAGGTATTTGTGCCACAAAAAAGTCTTTTACTTAGCTGTTTCATTTGGTGTCTCTGACTTGAAGAATTCACGGGGTCTCAGTTGTCTTCTCATGCGTACTTACAGAACTTACAAATTACTTGTGAGCCATATTGGTAGGGCAGCCAAAGGTTGTGTACCTCCTTATTTCCACTACCGTATATATTGGGGTATAGAGTTTTTCTGTTTTCTGTTGCATTAGTCTGGAATAGATCTTGAACACAATTTATATGACTTAAAATAATAATTTTAAAAAATGTACAGTATCTCCATGTCTTGATAGAATTCCATCATTAAATTCAGTCTTCGGAGATAACTGAAGGAGTGCTCTTTTTTGGAGTTTGCTCTTCCCTGGATTTCATGCAATTGCATCTTGGCTTTAATATTGCTTGAGATATGATCAATTGCTTTAAAAATATTCTATCTTTCTTGATGATTTTCTTTCTGCTTGCCCTTTGCCCAGTGAAACAGATAAAATTTAGAAAAAAGAAATGTCTTCATTTAGGTGTTGGAAAATCAGATGAAGAAAGATCTTGCAGATAAGGAAGCACTTGAGAATATGCTCAGAAGACATGAAGAAGAAGCACGTGAGAAATGTAAAGTCCTGGCTGAACAGAAGGCAGTATGTATAGTTGAATTGGAAATCAAAGCGTTTTTAGAGTAGCTTTCTGAGACTCTGATTTCAAGCAAGATAATCTTGTTTGAGGTTTTATAGTGTTGCTGAGCTGTTTTGAAGGAAATCCACTGATTAATACTAATTTTACAAGGCATGTTTTTTTAATTCAAGGTATCTTCAAGAATATTTCCTTAAAAGTAGCCACATAGCTTGTTGTGTACCTATCATTTTGTGCATTGATAATATAATGCTTGCTTTCTCCTAATATTAAAGCAATAGAAAGCAGTTGTAAATAGCTCCAGTAATTGCATCTGTGATGCTCTTCTGGACATTTGGTTGGTTTTCTTTTACTTCTTTTTGTTTCTGGAAAAAGTTCAGACTTTTTTAAACATTGTTTTTATAATTATTTCTATTGTGCAGTCTCAAAGGCACATTGCTCTGTTTCAGATGATCAATGCAATGGACTCAAAGATAAGGTCACTGGAGCAGAGAATAGTGGAATTGTCTGAGGCCAATAAACTGGCAGCAAATAGCAGCCTTTTTACCCAGAGGAACATGTAAGTATAGCAACTGCTATGATACTGGTCACTACTGAACAATTCTTAGTGAGATCTGTTCTCTTAATGTAAAAGTGGTTATTTTTTCAGGTCTGCTGTGCTCCCTGCTTGTTTTTCAGTGATGCAAAAATATACTTGTTCCTAAAGTAGTTGTGGTTCATTGCATATTCTGTGTTTCCTCAAACATGACTAGGAAAATTGGTTTGTATTACAATGTTTACTTTGGAGCCTTTCCTAAGGCTAGTGCTTTGTGCAGGGTTACCGAACATGTTAAATGAATACTAATAATTTTAATGTCTAAAATACCTCTGGAGAAGCATATATTCCTTTTTTGAACATACATATTGCAAATACATTTATATTTTCCTTGGTTCCTGTGACAGTTAAATAATGTTGGAATTGAAAACATTAAACACCTTTCTTTCACAAACATTCCATCCTGCCCTGATGGGTGAGAAGACAAGTAAGAAAACTAGATTTTTAAGCCAAGAGTTTTTCTGAATGTTTTTGAATTGCTGATTGCAAGAGTGTGAGATATTTTGTTACTGAAATGGGCAGAAGTAATGCGAAGTAGGAGATACCCCAGCTTCAGCTTCAGAATGCTGCTTCAATTCATTTTGTTTTCTTCCTAACCCAGATAGCACTTGCATATATCTCTGTTGCCTTCTCGGCTTCAGCCTCACTTGAGTTCTCATCAGTGACCGGTGTAATAGTCAGTTCAGTGGTTTTGTGCTATACTACTGGTCAAGATCTAATGTCATCTTGAATCACTGTGTAATCAGCAATTGTTCTTGTGGTGAATTCTTATTAAACACAGAGGAAATCTTCTGTGTCAAATCTTTTTGTCTGCCTGAACTTTGTTTTGCTTTGGATTTTAGCTGAGATTCCTTGTCCTTATAATGATGTTTTTCCGTCATAAATGATTTAAAGGCATTCTACTTCAAGTATAGAAAAAAGCATGGATTGTTTGCTATATCCTGCAAGGTAGGGCTGAATTAGTGTATGCTCTTACTGGGTTGAGATTCATCAACTTTGGCTGTCTGCAGAAAGGTTTTCAGTGTCTGTCAACTGCTGGATGCAATGTCAGGTAGTGTCTCTGTAGGAAGTGCTTGGATAGATTCACCTATAATATTGAATGGAATCAAGCAAGGATGAATTTTGGCAATGAGCTGCTTTGGTTTTTTATCTTTTCAGTGGTGATTATGCCTCCAGATATGTAATGGCTCCAATTTTTGTTGTATTTCAAATATCTGGCAAGTTATTTTAGCCTCAGCAGCCAAAAATATTCACAGAAATAACTGAGAAATTTAATTGTGTTGCTTTATGCTCCAGATGACCTCCAGTTAATCACCCAGGAAGTTTGTTGAGGCAGCAAAAGCCATAACTTACTTTCAGTCTGAAATAAAACAGAAGTATTGTCTCAATGTGTACCTGGGAAGCATATGCAAGGTCTAGTGTCACAGTCATTGGTGCTAAACTGAGTGTAAGAATTTAGCTGAGCTAGATGCATCCTCTGAGAGCAGGACACTTGACTGGAGATCCGTAGAGAACAAACAAAAAAATAATGTTTTAACGTATGACTTAGATTATTGAGAGACATATTGTCAGGTAACGTACTTTTGCAGGATTGGTAGAAGATAGTACAGAATTAACATTTTAAGAGAAAATTGCTTTATTGTGCATGCAGATGGCTAATGAATTTGTGCTTATTTTGTGAATTGTGGTGGTGAAAATGTATAAATCTGTTGTTGGACTGTATTTTGAATCCACAAAAGCTACAGCTAATCTGAGCATGCTTGAAGAGAACAACTAGTGATTAAACCCTTCAGAGGAGAGGGGAACTCTGCTAGCTTTTGTTCCTTCAGTATCTGAGGAAACTAATGATTATCAGGTTCCTGAGAAGATAGCCCAGTAAACAGTAGGAAGTGAAAGAACACCATTTGACAGTTCTGGCTGGCAATAATCTGTAGAGGTAAATTAAAAAAAGAGAAAGGGTTGAAAGGGTGGTTTTGCATACAATGCACAGAAATGCGAGTCAGAAAATGTAAGTTCTATTTTTAGTTTTGTTAAGTCTTCCTATTTGATCTTGGGCAACCCACATAATTTCTCTGGGATAGGATTAATAACAGCTTATCTTACAGTGAACTTCTTAAAATATTAATTCATTAATATATGTAAAGCTTTGTGACACTTCTAAGTAGAAAGCACACTATGAGGCAGACTTTTCCAATGCATGATAAAATGATTCCAGGAGTTGTAAATAACATATGAAGATTTTTTTTTTTCCTTTTTTTTTTTTTTTTTTTTTTATGAGGGTATCCATTTCAAATTCTTATGGTAATAATTAATCGTTGCCAGCTCTCAAAATTCTTATGAGCACAAGTAATTATTTTTGTTCACTTTGTAGATTAAGAGTTTGATCACAGACAACAAAGCTTCGCTTCAATGTAGGTCAAGTTCTAGGTCTCTTACAACTTAAAAAAAAAGGCAACAAAACAACCCACAACACAATACCCCCCCAAACCCTAAACCATAGGATTTCTCTTATCTCATGGAAATATATTGTGTGAAAGCAACTTTTCTTAGAATTTATTTTTCCTGTATCGAAAAACACGTTACAAGGAATTGGCGAAATGAGAAGAATGAACTGTAGCTTAAATATTGTTGTAGATTACTGTGTACAAGACTAATTCTTCTGTGCAACCTGCAAACATGGAATTTTAGTGCTGTGGGCATATGTTGATGAATACACTAGTACATAGATCTTTTGCAGACAGGTATAAAGAGTTGACTTTTTTTTTTTTTTTCGGTTGGGATGTAGAATTTAAGCTATGAACTTAACTATTCTACTTAATGGGAAACTTGTAGTATATTCTTCTTTACTTCACCCCAGTGAAAGGACGTATGTTAAGGACATTCTGGGTTTGTCACTTGTGCTTTTCTCCTGTCAGGAAAGCCCAGGAGGAGATGATTTCAGAGCTCAGGCAACAGAAGTTCTACTTGGAAACACAAGCTGGAAAGTTAGAGGCCCAGAATCGAAAATTAGAAGAACAATTGGAAAAGATGAGTCACCAAGATCACACTGACAAGAACCGCCTGCTGGAGTTAGAGACTAGGCTGCGAGAGGTGAAAACTTGGGTTTAATCCCTCCAAACAAACTTACTTGAATGTACCCCATTTTAAGTATTATAGTGAGAACTAGAATTAAGTTGTTTTAGTTTTGTGTGTCATAAAAAATGGTATTTTAGTTTGGTCTAGCAGTACTTTTTTTCCTCTAGGAGTAAAAAAAAAAAAAAAAGATGCTTATTAGAAGGAGATAAAAGTAAGTATGTACATATTAAGGATTTGTCATTCTTAGAATGAACTGAATGTGATCTTTTAGATCATCTTGCTTTCTCAGAATTGTATTTATGTTTTTTTTGTACAATATCCTTATAATGTTGTCCAGCTAGGGTGGTTATGGGGTAGAGAATAAAAGCTTAGCTATGTACAGTGACCAGCTTAACCGTAGCCTTAGAGTCTACAGAATAGAAAGCAAAGGACACAACAGAATTGCTATAAGAAAACAGGAGACCTGTTGCTTCATGCACATTTTTCAGAAGTTTTCTGGAAAGGAAACCTAACAGTATTATGAAAATATGCATTTTTAAAGATTTGTGAGCTGTGCTTCATTTTTAGTTTTGTATCAACTAGTTTGGATCCACTTCAAATCTTCTTTTACCTTCTCCAGTCTCACTCAACTAATTTTCAGCTAAGACTGAAATCTTGCCTTTAGCTAAGAGGGTTGGACGACCAACACATGTCCTTGTTTGACCGGAAGTTGGTTGGGACCAGTGTAAGATTTCTGGCAGGCTTGTCGCCCATCTACAGCACAACAGACAGATTCACTTGGGATAGCAGACAGCCTGAAGAAGGTGCTAAGGTTTGGAATTGATTTTGAGCACTGAGATCTGTTCTGCTGCTTGTTCATTTCTTATCCATTTCTGGAAATGACATGTTTATCCCTGAGTATGCCTCAAGAAAACCTTCAACAGAAGCCATTCAAATAAACCTAGAGCCAGATGATCTGGTTGGTTTCTTTAAAAAGAATCTGAAAGGAAAATGAAATATGAAAGTCAATTGCAAAATGTATGTAATATTTACATACACGTAAAGATTAGTATTGATGTTTATGCCTAAAGTTTCTCAAATAAAGATTCTTAAAGATTCTCAATTTCAGTGAAGACAGTTCATCACAAACTACTTCAACTTTTATGGTTTTTGTATCAACATTTGTTATGTGATAGTTGAGTCATAGCTGGAACTATTCTTGTGCCCTTGTTGTTTCAAAATGTCAGGTTGCTTTTAACCTTTTTCAAAGCAAACCAGTAGTTTTTAGGTAGTAGAAAAAGCTGCGTCCTTGACTTCTCAGTGACTTGAGCAATCTGTCAAGATGTGATTTTTGGGATAGACATGGCAATGGCATCTTAAAGTGAGGTCTGAAATGAGATTACATTGCCTATATTTTCTTTGTTAGTAACTTATGTTTGGATGCTACTTTTTCTTTTGTCAGGTTGGTCTAGAGCATGAAGAACAAAAGCTGGAACTCAAAAGGCAGTTGACAGAATTGCAGCTGACACTCCAGGAGCGGGAATCTCAAATTACTGGGCTGCAGGCTGCACGGACAGCCCTGGAGAATCAGCTCCGCGAAGCCAAAACTGAACTAGAGGAGACAACAGCTGAGGCAGAGGAAGAGATTCAAGCTCTCACGGTAAGCCCTAAAATTTGTACTATGAGCTATATATACAGATAGAATTACGTAGGTGCATGTTTCATAAAGAGATTAAAATGAATTTATACTATTTAATTTTTAATTTTCAGAAGAGGATATGAATTATGCCTTGTGTTGATAGAGGCAGGAATGGCTAAAATGTCAAATTTTGTCTGTCTTATTATCTTTAACCATATGAATACTTCCTAGTAGTGGTTCATTGCTGCCAAAACTGATTGATTGTTTGTAAGAGCATTATTTCTTTTGTGATGGGATGAAAGTTGCATATGAAATTGTTATTGTTAGGAGTTTTACTCTGTGATTTACTTATTTAAATAATACCTCATGAGTTTGAAAGTATTTCAGGATCATAAATGTTTTGATTATTTTTTGTTTTTTCTATCAGTTACCCTGCTTTGAGGATACTTATGCAGGGGAAAAAAAACCCCAAACAACAAATTCCTAGGGAAATAGTGTTGTTAGCTCGTAATTTTATTCCAATGCTTATTCCATTAAAAATTGTCATGTGTGTCTTGCAGTCTCTGGTGAGGTGTGTGAATGATATAAAGGAAAAAAACATTCAATTCCTCCCCCCAGTAAATGGAACTCTAAATTATATGCTGCTAGTTGCTGTCCTTTGAGTACAAAAAGATGCTTTCAAACTGCTTGATTCTAAGAAATATTTCTGTCATAAAAGATTCCCAGGGCTGTGGGGGGAGAGAGTGGAGAAGTATATGACCTGCTATCAGGTAACCCCCACTGAGCAGCAGTCTTTAATGACCTTCAAATCCAGTTATTTTGAAGTGTTGAAAATGGGCATCCTCTTGCTCCAGTGGCATTTGATTGAAGAACTGTTCCGAATATTTCTGCCATTGCTGTTTTTCGGAAGGGATGGTGGGCTCAGCTGAGATAGATGCTTGTATTATGTTGATGCTTTGGGTAGATGAATGGGAGAACTGTTCACTCAGAGTTGTTCTAAAGTGGGTACATGCTGGAAAAGTACAGTAACAACATCAAGACTTAAGAATAACTGAATAGAACATGGCATCAGTTTCTTTTTTGCTCAAAAACTGAGGCGGTCCCCTCCCAGCTGAAAGCTTTGCATAACAACTAATATTGCTGCCAGTGGGATGGTGATGTGCTTAATATCTTTACCCTACACCACCAGTGAAACAGATGAATTTTTATGACCTGTGTTTACTCAGTTATTGCTTCAGTTAATTTGGCAAAATGGTAGTGCTTTTGGACCAGCTGTTGTAAGATAGTCCAGTTTGGTGGGCTTGGGAGTATTTCTGTTATGTGGGGTTTTTAATATACCACTTTTTTTTTTCACATTGCCTGTTGTGGTAAGATAGCTTTTTAGCTCTCATATTTGACTTCTGCTGAACAGTTTTTTCCTGTTTAGTCTCTTGGCTCTAAGGAAAATGTTCTGAATGAAGAAAGGTGGCTGGATGTGCTAGTGCACTAACCTTTCATTTGTTAAGTTTTCAGATAGCATATGACATTAGACACTTGTTAAATCAGTTTGATGAATTTTGAGAGAGGCCATGAGGCTGAAACAAGAACTTTTGCTTTGTCATGCTTTGCTTGTAAATTAGGAGGTAAAATGGTGCATGCAATACTGAACTCTTTAAAATAAATTTTTGCACTTTTCCATACTTTGGATGCTGTCTTCCAAAGAATTGATTATTATGTTTCATCACTGCTTTTTAGAGAGGCTCAGGACTAAACGGTACTTTATGGTAGGACTCAGGTAGATTGGCAGAGCTGTTTGGGATAGCTTGCATAATACTTCATTATAGTTTTTCTTTGCAAGCGTTAAATTGTATGCAGTATTTATTTTATATGAAATACCAATCTGGATATGGAAGTAAAACCAACTCAAATTTAAATGTCAAGAACGTACAAACTTAATATGGAATCGACATGTCTTCTGATGACCATTTCAGATGGAACCTTTTACATAATTCAGTTCTCGAGTTTGTACATTTTTCTAAAGTAGTTCAGAATTGGGAGCATAAGTATATTTTGATTAAGTAGGATGTGACTTTTGCTAATCAGTTCTTTGCCACTACAGAGTGCTTTCATAGCCTGCAGCATCTGCCTTCCAAACTTTGCTTGCTGGTAGATTGTTCTGCAGTTTGTTTAGCAACAGCTGTTGGATTCGAATTCTAATGTATGAAAAATTGATGATTAACTTCTTACCTCCTTTAGGCACATAGAGATGAAATCCAGCGTAAATTTGAAGCCCTTCGTAATAGCTGCACAGTGAGTATTAAATACAGATCATTGAATTATTTTGAAATTAAGGATAAGGAAACAAACAATTTACTTATTTAATCCTTGATGACACTAGTTCCTAATGTGGACTTCTGGCTTCAAGGTGTTAGCAGGAGCTAGACTGATTGGATTTGATTTCTTTTAGGTTTCAGGTAAACCTCAACTTTGAGGTTTTAGTCTGATCATGAAATTGATGCTATTCTTCTTTTTGGAGAAGAAAGTAAATTAAAATATCTCATTGCAGTGCAGCTAATAAGAATGGTGTAGCAGCTGCAAAAAATGATTGTAGGTGAAGATCTTTTCTGCTCACAAGAAGAAAAGATCTACCTGTCCAAATCCTGAGCTGCATTGTAGATCTAGGCCAGAGTGGAAGAGCCTTCATGCTACTCTGGGTTTTAAGTAGGACTTTAACACTGTTTGAAGAGGCAAGAAATGTTATGGTCCCAAGTAATACATTGACATGTCATCTGTTCAAAGAGCAGAGAGGACTCTAGGATCTTAATTTGCACCTTCTACTGCTTGAGATCTTTTGACACGGTTTTAGATTCATTTCATCAGTCCAGGAGAGATGTCCAAGGGTTTGTCTGTCAATAGGGATTCTTGCAGATTAACGCTATCTTCAAACTTCTTTATGATGGTTGATGGAGAGCATCTGTCTTCCAATGACATGAATTACAAAAGTGTTGAATAAGGACCACAGTCCTCCGGATCAGCATTGATTGCCAATCCTTCTAGGCTTTTTCTCTTTACCCCACCCTGTAAACAGGGCTTAATTGCTGGTTTTTAAATCTTGATTTTTTCCCTACTTCCAGTGATTTCCTCAAACTTAATTTTTCATGCTGTAGGACTGAGTATCTAACATGCAAGTTTTCATCTTTCAAAAATATCTTTTCAGGATGAGAGTTACTCTGTTTTCCTCAGTTGCTCTTTAGCATTAAGCAAGGGGATTCTTCTAGTCTGTTCTTAGAATATACTGATAAGAAGAAATGAGGAAGTAGAACTTACCAAAGTGTGTTAACCTCTGTCTAAAAGAAATTCTGCACAAGAAACTTTACTTTTTGTTCCCTTCTTCATTTACTTAGATTGATCCTCTAGCTCCATATGTGCTATCATTTCTCTTGCATCCACAGCTGATCTTCTTTTGTTCTGTCTTGCCCTTCATACAGAATGACAGCTTTCTATGAAAATGCTTTTGTGATCTTGATGCAGGCAAAAACCAGTTGTGGAGAATCTGTAGCTTCTTTTCACTGCACGGTAGGCTCCCTTTCAGAGGTTGTAACTCATTATCTAGTACCACTTAGGCTCTGTAAGTGTGAACGATCTCCAGCAGTGAAGACTGACCCGTAACATTTCAAGAATGTTGAGAGCTTCAAAGGTTCTGCGTAAAAAGATTTCTACAAGTGTTGTGCATTGTAAGGCCCTTCAGTGGGATGAGTGGGATCAGACATCCTCATCAATAAGAAATCAATTAAATAGTTCCTAAATGAATAATACATGCTCATCATACATTCTCTTTCCAGCCCAAGAGAATGCATGTATAATTTAATTGACCATGTTTCTTGTTCTGTGTTACGAGTAGTTCTAGCTGTCCATCCTGTCTACTGGGGAGCACTGAGAGAAAATACAGGACAATCTTCTACTGACAGTGAGGGAGCAGGGAATGTTTATTACAGTGCCTTCACCAGATATTTCAACCTCATTTTTATCTGATTGTGACCAGTATGACGCAGGCTTTGCTTTTTGGTGACCATGTGATTCTACTTGAAGGTGATTAGAATGTATACTCCTTTTAAAATAACACTTCGAGGGAATAGTTGTAATATGCTGCTACTTACGCAGCATGATAATGAGTGGGTTTATTCTTTTAGCAGGTTTTTCAAAAGATATCCTTTTTAAGCTGAAACAAACTCCTTGAACTAGTCTGGCAAACTTTGGTATGGAATTATTTTTTATTTAATCTTGTTGAGAAGCCTCAAACAGCATAAGAATTATGAAAATAAGATTAGACAGGGAAAAAAATTTTGAAAGCTTGAATTACTTCAGTACTTTCATAGTATTCAAAAGATATGGTATTTCTCCTGTTTCTCTAGCTTCACAAAGGTCACAGCTTCTGATTGTAGAGAAGGTTTACACCTCAAATGTGTGTCTGCTTTCCTTGTACCCTTGCTGCACTCTTGTTCTTCCTTTTGCTAAGGTCTCTGACCATGTAGATATTTTTCAGGTTCTCCTATTTGTTCATTTTAAATTTGCTGTGTTTTGGGGTGCATACATAGAGACCATTGCTATGTTGTTGGTCATAATTTCTGCCTTATTTGTGAATCTCTATTTAGTTGCTCTGATAGCTCTGTGTTGTTTCATCTTGTGACATCTCTCTCACTATTGGGGGTCAAAAAGAAAATGCTAGCATTTGCTTTCTCTGTCTCTCAGTTGTGCAAGAAATAATAGGATATATAATTACAATAAAAATTGTAAACTGTAGTACCTGCTGTACACACACACACACACACAGACACAGATGCATGTGGGCACACGCATAATCTTCTCACAATGATAGATCATCCAGCAAATCTGTTGAGGGAGAAGGACTAGTTCCCTACATTTAAAGAATTATTCTATCAAAAATATGGTCCATTTGAGTGTTAAAAGTATTTTCCAGGCAATCAGAAAAAGATCGAGAAATAAAAGGCATTTTCTTAAATAGGAAAATTTACATATTTGTCAATTGTTTCCAACTGCCTCTTAATTATGGCTTGTTGTTGGATCATTGACACATTTTAAATTAAAAATACAACCACATTGTCTAAATAGTAGTAGAATTGTTTAAAAAAGAAAACATTTAGTAAGCTGGCCGTAAAGTCTATAAATATTTAGAAGAAAAGAATCCTATGAAGAAGCATTTACACTCAGCTTGGTAAATTACTATTGCTATTCCAGGGAAGCAGCATCTGAATCTTCTAGGTTTTTTTCAGGTACAGGCTGTTGCTTTTACTTTAGCAAGGAGAATGGCATTTCTTAATACTAATTGGATATTACATTTCCATTTATTCAAGATTTCTCCAATAAAACAAGGTTTATCTTCCCTCCTTGAGGTTCTTTTGTTATCATCTTGTGTTCCTAAGTATTAACAGGCTTGATTCTGTACTTGTCTATGAGATTGGATATTGAGGCATTAAATCTGCAAGCCTGTTAGCACATGTATAATTTTAGTTATGCATAAAGTTCTCCTGACTTTGGTCTAAGATCCTGATTCCACATTGGCTCACTGAGTTGGCATACAAGAATAATCTGTGTTCTTGAGAACTTCCAAAATTATGTCTAAAGATGTTATATACTCTGATGCTAAGTCATGTTTCAGAGTAAAGGGATCTTGCCCACTGTAACAAGGCTAATACCCAGGCAAAAACTTTTATATGGCTTTGTTTAATTTGTAAAAAAAAAATTAAAAAAAAAATGGCTGTTGAGTGGGAGGGATTATCCCCGATTCTCATTTCATAGAAGATGTGATGGCAGATGCCAGTTACGAACAGAAATGGAGCTTTGTAGTTTTTGTAGCCTGACAAAAAGTCAGAGACTTCTAGGGTGTTGATGAGGTGTTGCTGTGAAAGAGGTTAATGGGACCTTCACTGTGGACAACGGCATCATCACCATTTGAGGACGAGTTTCATGGTTGGTAGAGGCAGCTCGTCTTCTGGGAACTGGGATAGAGGAGCACAGGAGACTGTATGTTTTAATAATGGGTTGGTGTGGGAAGAAGAGGAATGCAGGCTGTGCAATGTCCTACTACTCTGCAGCTACTAACGAGAGCAATGTACCTCAAGCTAAGCCATGATGAGTTTTTGGAGACTGAGATCTCTGTGTAAGGTATGTTTCAAGTCACAGATGTTGCCTGACTATGGAAAGGGGAAGAAAGTGAGGAGTTCACTGTTATATATTGTTCAAACAGGTAGAGATATAAGACTGGTATCTCTCTGCAGCTGTGTTCATTAAGAGGCTTGGTATTCTGCTCCATTACAATGCTTGGTATTTCTCTGCTAGAAAAGCTTTTTCTCTCGGATCCAAATGTGAATAGGTTAAGACGAATTGAGTCTGATGCCTGCTCTTGCTTCCTCCTCACAATAACTTGGGGCTGAGAGATACCTTTTTCTTTTTTCCTATTTACTTCTGACAGCTAGCTTTCTAGTAAAGATTAGTGGGGGTGGGGAGGAGTGGAAATGGATAGAGTAAAACTAAGCGCTAGCCTGGAAGTTCTGAATTAAGGGTGTAAAAAAAATTGCATTAAATTCCAAATAACATGCTGCTGATAGCGTCCTGTAACAGTTAACCTTGCTGTCTCCTAGCATTTTCCTGCATGTTTGTTGGTGGCATCTGAGAACCGAGATGTCTTCATGAAGGAATAAGGTTATGGAGAAGCTAGCAAGCTGCAGTTAGTAGTATTCTAAAACTGCTTCCTTTTCTCCTTTCCCTCCTTATTTTGCCTGTGGTTTTGATAGGTGGAGCATATGGATTAAATTTTATACATTGTGTCTGATATGCAAACCTAATCATCATGGTCCTGAGTGGCTTGTTGCTATAATATTTAATTTGTGATCCATGTCTGGAGAAGTTTGTAGGGCCAGGCATAATAGCTGTGAATCTGTGCAATCTCACAATGGAGAAACACTTTGCTTTTCTGAAACCATGCAATGGGGAGGGAATTGTGCTGAATGTGGTCACTTTTGCTGAAGAGCTGTTATGCTTGGGTTACTCTGTAATATTTAAAAATGAGATACAGTCTTCTGTATCAGTATAAAGATAAGTTGTGCGCGTAGATGTGGTATGTCGTGAACAATCTGCCAAGATTAGCATGGTGTGGTTAGATTATATCTATTTTATGGATTAGTTGTGATGAAGATGTGCATAGATTGAAGACAAAATTTCAGTTGCTCTGTGAGTGATGATACAGTGGCACAGATACAGTGGCTGCCTAGATTGTCTAGAATTGCTTTTCCGAGCTTTCAAGTGTTTGGTTGTTTTATAAACTTCAAATTTGAAGATTTTTGTAATTATATTATGGGTTTCTAAAGGATAAAATAGTGTTTTCTTACAGACTTTCCTTTAATATACTTCAAATTTAACTCCAGAATAGCTCAGGGTTGGTTGGTTGGTTGATTTGGGTTTTTTTGCCTGGGGATTTCCTTAACTGAAAAGAAAAATACCTAAAGCTATTGACTCTTTTCAGGTACAGGATTCTAGCATAGGTTGTATGTATGTATGCCGAAGACAGCATTTCCTATTAAATGTGGTTTTTTGATCTGTGTTTTCTTTCTTCTTGGTTCCCAGGACAGGCATTTATATCACACCATGCCCCATTTTCCTGTGTCAGTATTACCTATGACTATTTGGGCTTTATAGTATTTATAAACTCTGTAAGCCTGTTGGGTTATACATAGCTGGAAGTAGCTTTTAAAAATTGGATTTGTTAACAAATTTCCCCTTTCCCCGTGAAAAAAGGAAAATTGTACTGAGAAGAACAAATTTTCTCTCTTAAAAAAAAAATTAAAATCTATCAATCGCTATAGATTACATTATATAGGTTATAATATATTTGGAATTTTAGCCAAGCCATTTTGAAATGGTCAATAAATATACTGTTAGGAAAATATTCAAGAAAGGAGATCGTGTCACTTCTTCTGGAACCCTTCTTTCTTAACTGCTTTGTAACTTGTCTTAAGTTTTCCAGAAATATCCTACTAGATAAAATATAACAGTGAGATATAAAATGGTCTGGTTTCATTTTAGTTATATGCAGGGAAAGAAGTCAAAATCTCAGAACATAGAATAAAGGCGAATGGGAGCTTAACTTCCAGCCCTTAAGGGATAAAATCAACTTGAAATACAGCCAGTTTTAAAAAATTAAGTAGTTTGGCACACTAACTCTGCATGTCACCTTATCCATTTTGTGTTTCCCCCATCTCTGCTTTCTTGTATTTCAAAACTAGTTTAATAATTTTTATAGAAAGTACTTGTATTAATATATAAAATACATGTGGAATAAAGCATATATGTATGAAATATCTTAAAACTGCCTAGATAGGTGGTGTGCTTAAACATAAAAATAAGAACAAGTAGAAGAAAAAGAGATACAATCTTATCTGGCAGTTCATAGAAATCTCAGATGTTACTTGTAAGAATGGTAGGTAAAACACTGTAAAAACAAGTATTCTTTTGTTCCTTTTTGTTTGTATAAATACATTTCTAAGTTCCTATCCTTACAGCAACATAGACACTAACACATCCTTATGACACAGCCTGCGTTCTTTGAGAACTTGATGTATGCAATCCAGAATAAAATGTATATTTTGAACAGGGCAGTAAGAGTGCTCAAGAAACAACCACATGATCAGATTTTCATTAGAAATGTTGTGGTTTAAAGTATGAATCATTTTGATTTGACCCTGAACATATGGGTAGCAGGAACTCCCCTTCACCCAGCAGGGAGTAATGTCAGTTGGTCTTTTTCTGCTGACAGTTTAAAAATCAAATACTGTTAATTTAGATCTAGGAGAGGCATGGTAAAAGGCTGCCAATATATGCGTTACATATTCTTCAAAAAGAGATGGTTGTCATCTTTCCAGATAGCTGAGAAGAGCTGTATGCTCTATGCTCTACTGCTTTAGATATTTAAGTCCTTGGCTTGTGTTGGAAATTGGAACATTTAAATTTGAACATGTGGCCAACTGTGCTCTGGGATTTAAATTCTTTGTGTTTAATGAAGTATCTTATTCACTTTTCTTTGACATCTAGGCAAAAAATGCCTTTAGAACATATTTGTAAGAGTTGAATGTGAATTGCATAGAGTTTACCAGTTTCTGAAATTCTTTTTATTAAGCTGATTTCAAGATTATACTGAGGTTTCTTTCTCTTCTGTTGTGATGACATTGTTTTTGAGTTAGGAGGAGCTACAGGTATTAATCCATCCAGTGTTCATGGCCTTTCATTCACAAAAATCAAATGGGACTGTGAAAATGGCCCACCGTTGTTCATATTTTTCTTTAAATTGAAGAGGAATGTGGTTTTAAGTGTATAGTATAATGCTATTCTGATTAAACAAATGGATACTTCCACTTCATTAAAGGCAAGGCTATTGTCCTTGCTGAGTTTTTGCTTTTCACTGATTTTTCTGTTAGTCTGTTGCATTGCCACTTTTTTCTTTCTTCATATATCCCGTGCTGCCATCTGTAATGGTGTTACTTTGATAGAATATATTTTTCAAATTTTTTCTGCTTTTCCTGGTTACATACAGTGTTACATATAGTAATATAAGCAATTGCTGGGGAGATTCATCAGATTGTGCTGCCTCCATTGCACCTCTTCTTCAGTTTTCTTAAATATCACGCTTCGAAAGCCTCTCTGAGAGGTATTAGCCTCATTTCACTTAAGGGGAAACGGAGGCAAAAAAAGGTAAAGTGCTTTGGCAAAGGCACACCATAGGTCAGCAGCAGATCTGAGAATACAGTCACAACTCCTGACTCCCAATCTGGTGCTTTAGATGTGACAGTTCTCTCTCAAATAATAATTGCTGTGCAGCATATTTATACTCTAAATCAAATTTTAAAAACTCAAGCTATTTTCTGTAAGAAACAAAACTCTATTCCTAATCAAAGTACACTGCAGTGCATAAAGTCTACCATTACAATATTGCTTTTGTTTACATTTGAAAAAAAATTAAAAGCCAGGTTCTCTCCTTGCTTGGCAATAAATGGTTCTTTGAGAGGAGAACACTTTTTCAAAAGACTGTACTCACTGACATGTAATTTAATTTGTTTTTCTTTCTAGGTGATTACGGATTTGGAAGAGCAGCTGAACCAGCTCAGTGAAGACAATGCAGAACTGAACAATCAGAATTTCTTCCTGTCCAAACAACTTGATGAGGCCTCAGGGGCCAGCGATGAGGTTGTCCAGTTGCGAAGTGAAGTGGATCATCTCCGTCGGGAGATCACTGAGAGAGAGATGCAGCTTACCAGTCAGAAACAAGTAAGGCTTTATAAGTCTGGATCACAGTCTCTTCATGATAGCTAGCTAATTATCTGAAAGGCAAAAAATTCTTTTAAATCTGGAAACCTATAAGAAATGAATATGCTTCTAGGGCAATGGCGTTTAAGCCTTCCTTCCCAGAGCAGTTGAGTGAATGGAAATTTTTGGTATTTCCTATTGTATTTTTATGCAATTTTATTTAGAAATTTTGCACTCTGAAGATACTGTAATTTAGAATTATTCATTTTAATTTTGTGACCCTGGAAATCTCAAAATTTTCATAATGAGATGGAACTGACATTAATGGCAATCGCAAGTGAAGGTATGGAAGCCTTGAAATAAATGGGTTGTGACTTACCAGCTTATGTTTGCTGCCAATTTGCATGTACTGTAATTTAAATGGTAAGGCTGAAGCTTAAAGTGCACGCTTGATGTGGGATGTGAGAATTGATAGGAGGATTTATTTTTAGACTATGGAGGCCTTGAAGACAACATGTACAATGCTGGAAGAGCAAGTAATGGACTTGGAGGCCCTGAATGATGAACTCTTGGAGAAAGAGCGTCAGTGGGAAGCATGGAGAAGTGTTCTAGGGGATGAGAAGTCCCAGTTTGAATGTCGAGTTAGAGAGTTGCAGAGGATGCTGGATACTGAGAAACAGAGCAGGTCTCTTTCCCCTCCTCCCCCTTTTATTAACTTTTGTGAAAATGCTCTATAGAAGCTAGTACAAAAACTATATTTAGAATAGGATATGGGAGTTGGAACTAAATATAAAATCTTGTGAGGTAGTTCTAAAAATGGTTTATTAGTTAATAGTCATTCACCAGTGATATTGTTCCTTTTGTTCCTTTGCAAGTGAGCAATTCCTGGGGAGTGGTATTTATCATTGTAATTTATGAAATGTCTTGATTTATTATCTTCTACTTTATTATATGGAAAAATAGCCTTTGCTCCTAACTGTTCCTGTGGGGTCTCGAGATTTTCAGGCTGTAGTTCTAGCAGGCGCAGGAACAGGATTATATAATATAAAAGTGTTGCAGCAAACAGTCTGGCTTTATAAAGTAACATCCTGAATTTGAGGCAACCCCTTGAAAGAGTTATTGATGCCACTGCATGCTAGGAAGAGGTCAAGCCCAGAAAGGAGTTAGGTAACATTATTTTCCATTTTAATACAGAGTGAGAGCAGATCAGCGTATTACTGAATCTCGCCAGGTGGTAGAACTAGCTGTCAAAGAACACAAGGCAGAGATTCTAGCCCTCCAGCAAGCACTAAAGGAACAAAAACTCAAAGCTGAGAGCCTTTCTGATAAGGTAAGTAACTTTCAACCCTCGACTTTCATAATTAGATGAGGTACTTTCTAGAGATATTGCTTGTAGAAATGTGGTCTTGAGCAGCTTTTTCAAAGTGTTAGAGCAAATTAAAAAGACTGGAGGTCATAGAATAGAATTCTATCTTCAAGCCGAAAACCTTGGGTTTCCTTTTGAAATGGACTAAAGCAGAAAGCAGCCTATTGATGCCTGGAGTGAAGTCCTTCCATAACTTGATATCTGCATTTGAGCAATGGCGTACCAAAATGTTGTTTGGTTGGTTTCCATCTTATAGTAAGTAAAGGATAATTGTATCATTTTTCTTTAGTGTGTGCGTGGTGAAGTTGGATTTTAAGATTGTGGAACGCTGTATTTATTAGTGTTCAATGTTATTCTGACCATCTATCCCACCTGCCTAGCTCAATGACCTGGAGAAGAAGCATGCTATGTTGGAGATGAATGCACGCAGTTTACAACAGAAGCTTGAGACAGAAAGGGAGCTCAAGCAGAGACTTCTGGAGGAGGTAACCTTCAAAACTCATGTTATAACTTCAGAAGAAGGTTCCACATCTTGAGGGGGGGTGGTTGTGTGAATAGCAGTGTTACACATCCATCCTTCTTCTATATAACTAGGGAGATTAAAAATGTTGGGGGGGTTGTTTTTCTTAAAACTTTGCAAAGTGTGCGGCTAATGTCAGGGAGCAGTGAAAGTGAACTGCTCCTCAAGGGAAGGTGAGCTGGGAGCCAGGCGTGACAGCAAGTCAAGCAAGGACAGAGACCTTGCAGCCAGTGAGCAGAGTCTCACAGTACCTGAACAAGAAGAGCAGAGCAGGTTTGGTGAAGGTAATCAAGTTCAGCCAGCGGCCCAGTGATCATTACAGAAGCCTGTAGTGATGAGGCACATCCTAGGTAGGGTCTGCAAGGCAAGGTGCGTGCTCAGGCACAGCATTCTTACAACATAGCTCTGACCAGACCAAGTGCAAGGACAGTAGCTTAAAAACAGCCCTAAAGCCAATGTGCTGAGGGTGCATGAGTGGAGGCCGCAGGTGAGGCTTCCCACAGCTCTTTTTTCATAATTTATCTTGGTTCACAGAAGTCTGACCCAAGGTTACACACCTGCACCATATCAGTGAGACATTGAATGCTGGCAGCCAGACCTGGGTATTGGGGAAGAGGTTCTAGGGGAGGATTTCAGGGGAGGGGTGGTTACAGGCAATTAGATGGGGTAAAGTAGAGCCTTTTGGTGCACTTGGGGTACTGACAAGTTATCGCAGAGTTGAGAATTTCATTATGCATCACAGTGAAAGATTTCTGGCTCTTCATAACATACGAGCATTAATGGTTTTCGTATTCAGGGACTTTCTCATCAAGAAGTATAAAACCTGAAAGAATTAGGATTAGTTTGTCATATGCCCTTTTCTGTTGTTAGTTGGAGACAAAGATTTAAACAATTGGACATAATTTTCCTTATCTCATATAACTACAGAGGAAGGAGTTTATCTTGGTGTATAAGAAAGATTTTTTTTCTTTTTTTTTTCTTTTTCTTTTTTAATTACAAGTACTGAGGTGGCTTCTGGTGATTGTATAGAGAGCTTGAGAAAATGACATCCAGAAATTCTTCATGTATGTCCAGTCTTATTAATAATTACAAGATATGAAATGCTTAAAATAGTAAATAACTTGTACATGCATTTGAAAGAAATGGTGTTGCTACAGATTAACATAAATACACTACATAGAAATGCTTGTTTAGTCATGATGCGTTCTGAAAGGAAGGAAAACTTCTAGAATATTGTAATTTTACAGCTCTTAAAGAATTGTCTGTTTACTTTTAAATTCTGCAATGATGCTTATTTTACAAGGAGTGATAATATTTAATAGCTTTTATTTAAAAACAAGCTAACAAAACCACCAAAACACTGGCCTTTGTTTTCCTGTTAACAGCAGGCAAAGCTGCAGCAGCAAATGGATCTGCAAAAGAACCACATCTTCCGCCTAACTCAAGGTCTGCAAGAGGCTCTAGATCGAGCAGATCTTCTGAAGACTGAAAGAAGTGACCTGGAATATCAGCTGGAAAACATTCAGGTGAGAGTGAGGAAACAGCAGGCAGGACTCTGTGTTCCCCATAAAACCCCACTCACTCCCTGTGGGGTTTTAGGATGTGATCTACTGTTTCTGTGTGACACTTTCCTTATACTATTTTTTAGCTCTGTTCTGCTATTGAGTTATCTGGTTTCTTCTATTAAGATGAAATTTCTTATATGTGTGTGTGGTTCACAGGTTCTCTATTCCCACGAAAAAGTGAAAATGGAGGGTACTATTTCTCAGCAAACCAAACTCATTGATTTCCTGCAGGCAAAGATGGACCAACCAGCGAAAAAGAAAAAGGTGGGTGAAAAAGGTTTGAGAGGCATGGAATTAAATGATGGTTTTGTGATTAGTTATGTGCTGTGTATTCAAAATATTCTGTTTTATCTTTCTTTGTGTAACACAAATGTGTCCTCATTTAAGAGCATTCTGAGCTGCTGAACACAAACTTTACTAGGCAGAATGTGTTCTTTGTGGCTTTTCCATTGTTTTGTTATTCCTAGAATGCTTAGGTTACAACCCAGTAGCTACACCTCAGTGAGGCTGTAGGAATACAGAACTTTAAGCATGCTTTTTTTTTTTAATGGTAAGTATGTATGTGTATATGAACTTATTGTGTATCTAGAGTGGTTGTCTTGTAGTTACAGTATAGGATTGCTTAGTCAGGTGATGTGACTTCTGTCACATCTTTGTCATAAGCCGTTCTTTCATTTTGAATTAAGTAATTTAATTTTAATCACGTATTTTGAGATCCTCTGTTTAGATGCTTTCGGAAACTCAAGGTGTAAGTATTATAACAGGTAATGTACGTCCCTCTTTAAATTAATCCATATCTCAACATTTTCTCTCCAGTGCCAATATGAACTAAAAATCCATCCTTACACATATCAGAATTACCATTAGGCCCTCTGGCCGGACTGCCACTAGCTAGTTTCACTTTGCCTAGTTTAAGCCATCTCTTACTAGGAGTTAGGAGTTGTCTGTGTGTTTCTGTTGCTAGGGCCTGTTTAGTCGGCGGAAAGAGGACCCTTCTTTACCCACACAGGTTCCCCTGCAATACAATGAGCTGAAAGTGGCACTGGAGAAGGAGAAGGCTCGTTCTGCTGAGCTGGAGGAGGCTCTACAGAAAACACGCATTGAACTCAGATCTGCTCGTGAAGAAGGTAGGGGTTAACAGAAAAGGTGAATCTGGAAGGAGACACACGTTTTTGGTGTGAAAACATGCCTTTAATTGTGTGCCACTATAGCAGTAACATATGTTGTTTAATTCTTACCTACTGCTGTGAAGGTGCAATAAGGCTACGCTTTTTTTCTGCGGGTTGTAACCGCTGAATGGTTACACAGAACCACTGCTATGAACTAGTGTTTCATATTGGTTGTGTTAATGAGTGGCATTTATCTCATCTATAGCTGCTCATCGGAAAATATCAGACCACCCTCATCCATCTACTCCAGCCACAGCCAGGCAGCAGATCATCATGTCTGCCATAGTCCGCTCACCAGAGCATCAGCCTACTCCGATCAGTTTGCTAGCTCCACCCTCCAGTCGCAGGAAGGAGTCTTCCACACCAGAGGGTAGGTTCTTGGTGACCTTTTCTGTTACTATTTTTCTGTCTAGTATTTCAATGCCATGTCTCTTTTTTTTTTTAATTTCAAAACCAGATTTTTTTCATGATAGGAATATTAGATGGTAAGTTTTGCTTTTGTTTTTGGTTTAAAATTCTCTATGTGGATTATATAATTTATTTCTGAAAACTTCAGCAATAAAGTAATTATTAACACGAATTGTTTTAAAAGCATGGTTTTTTTCAAAGGAGTATGTTTTCTGTACTAGTCTCTGCATTGATGAGAAGGATTTATGGCTGTTTCTTTAGCAGTTAATGTTTTTACTTGTCTAAATGGCAGATTTGTTCTGCTGAGCAGAAAGATTCTATAAAGACTTTTGGTAAAGGGAAGAGACTTCGGTCAGGCATAAAAGGAAGATACCAGGTCAAAGATGACATTAATATCCTATTAACTGGAAAAGTTCTAGTGGATGATCCTCTCCCCTTCCATATCCTTGAGAATGGAGGGGAGAGGATCATCAGAAAAAATCAAAGGATTGAGGGCTCTGCTCATTTATTCTTAGTTGGCCAGTATTCCAGAGTAAGTGTTGAACACTGACACTTTGAGCTAAAACCTCCAGCCTTTAGCTGGAAAAAGCCAGAACCTTCAAACTGGTCCAGCCATTACAGGTAGCTGGGGAGGCACAGGATGCTATGAGGATGGGTAGCATTGGCATAGGAAGATGTCCTCAGAGGCAGATCACGGGCAGGGAAGAGATTCATGTTCATCAGTAAAAGACCATGCCTTGAAGGATAAACTTTGCTCAATATAGATCCACTGACAGGGATTTTAGGTATGCTTTAAGGTATGCTGGCACTGATGGTTAGCATGAAGGCTGTATGAAGAAGGCCTGCTGTGTATTGATTGCTACAGCATAGGTGTTGAAGGGTTTGTTAGCTACAAGCAAAATTGAGAGATTAGTTTAGCACATTGTAAGAATTGGAGCTCAGTGCAGACTTGAAATTTAGACAGTTTGATTGACATAATCTTGCTACACCAAACATTAGCCACTTCAGTTCTACAGTCTGTTCTCAAGCGGCACATTCTGTGCATCTGTATAAGGTAATTACTGAGGTGATAATGTAGCTTAAGATTTGCAGATTGCAAAGGAAAATAGTGTCTACTTTCAGGAGGGCTTTGATAGAGATATGTAGTCGCTTTTTATTACCTGGGACTTAAAATGCCAAAACCTACTATAATTTTCACCCCTATCAGTTTTCATCCCGATAATAAATTTTGTACCTTTCAGAGTACAGCCGACGCCTGAAAGAGCGAATGCATCATAATATCCCACATCGTTTTAACGTGGGGCTAAATATGAGAGCAACAAAATGTGCGGTGTGTCTGGATACTGTGCACTTTGGACGGCAAGCATCTAAATGTCTTGGTAAGAGCAGAGTGTGTACATAAACAAAGTGTAACTGGACAGTAGAATGAAAAAGCATCAGCCGCCAAGAACAGATTTTCAGTGAAAGCTGAAGAAAGGACCAAGTATGAAGACTTGGAAACTAGTTGGCGCAAACATTCTACATTAGAAAACACCTGATGGTTTAGAGTAGAAGGAGGTTCTTGGAGAAGCTGGGGCTTGTGCGTTAGAAGTTGAGACAGCTGTGTCATGATTTTTTTGTCATTTAACAGAAGTTTTTCTCTGTCCTTTTGTCAGAATGCCAGGTGATGTGTCACCCAAAATGCTCAACTTGCTTGCCAGCTACTTGTGGACTGCCAGCAGAATATGCCACGCACTTCTCTGAGGCATTCTGCCGGGATAAAATGAATTCTCCCGGTCTGCAGCTGAAGGAGCCAAGCAGCAGTCTGCGTCTTGAAGGATGGATGAAAGTGCCAAGGTATAAACATGAATCTTGGTGCCATATCAGGTGCTGAAATATTTGGAACAGTTCCTTATATTATCCTGGCTCTTACAATGTGATAATCGGTACATGTCCATTATAATTACTTACTACCACTGAAATTCGTCTTTCTAGGAGTTGCATGCTTGTTTTATTCAGAATCCAAGCAGAAAATCCAACATGGCTTTGTGCTTATTTTCTTCAGGAATAATAAACGTGGGCAACAGGGCTGGGACAGGAAGTATATTGTCCTGGAAGGAACGAAAGTGCTCATTTATGATGCAGAAGCAAGAGAAGGTAACTTAGCATTTCTAGGAAGAACACTTTTTTTAACCTTCAGCTACTGTTTGGCGAGTTGAGAGGCTTAAAGGTTGTTACTGTTTGCTGTGGCCATACCTAATTTAGCTAAATTTTCTGTAATAAGGCAATACCGTTGTTTTTCTAGATCCTTAACAGTTTTATTAGCTGGCATGTCATAATAACCCAGCTGTGAAACATCCTGTGTGTATCCACTCCACTTTGCTATCACAATTATTTTCTTGCTATTTACTAGTTTGTTCTTTCTTAATCTGTCTGCTCATTCTCCCTGCAGCTGGACAGAGGCCTCTGGAGGAATTTGAGCTCTGCCTTCCTGACGGTGATGTAACTGTTCATGGAGCTGTAGGAGCTACTGAACTTACCAATACAGCAAAGACAGGTGAGAATCTTATGTAGATGAGGTCAAACGGATTTCATCTGGCTTGCCATCAGTTGGCATTCTGTTTGGCTGAGCAGGATTTTCTCCCTTTAACTTTCATCCTGTAACTGTGTAATTTTGAGGTTACCTCTATTTGAATTACATGAATAGGTCAGTCATCTAGATTTAGTTACACATAGGCTGTTGCTTCTGTCATGGTAGTTGAACTGTGAATAATATAATCATCAAGCCAAATGGAAGTAAATTTTAAGAGTTTTGTAACATATTTAAAAGCACTTGGTTTATTTAAATTTCTTCTCTCAATGCTCTCTCAAGTGTGAAGTGTCGTATTTCATGCCACCATTGTGCTCTAACTAGAAAGTCGTTAACTTAGAAATGCTGTGGGGTGTATACAGTCTCTTATTATGAAAAAAATGTTGATGTTTTGATTTGTATGTACTGAATAGAACTGATGAAAAGATTATGTATGTGTTGACTTTAACATTAAAGGATACAGATTGTTAAAAACAAAGGTTTCCATAACCAATTTTTACAGATTTTTCTTGAACAGTACAGGGAAAACTTTAGTCAAGTGGCTGTTTTTGTGCTTTTTTTCACAATGGAATTCCTTTCTCCTTTGACTAAAAGGCAAGAAATTATTTTTATTTAGTAAAGACAGCATTGTATGTATGGATTGCATACACCCAGCTAATATTTAGCTTTAAGTAGCTAGCCTGTGCAGGACCTGTAAAGGAGAAATCTATGTATAAATTGCCATGGTAACACGTCATGATAAATACAACTTCTCTCCAATGAGGCTGAAAGGTGTTGATTTTAAGTCCACTGACAATATTCCAAAAACTAATCTAAGTCTTATTCTATCTATATAACATCTCAGATGTGCCATATATCCTAAAATTGGAGTCTCATCCACACACCACTTGCTGGCCTGGTAGAACACTCTACCTGTTAGCACCCAGCTTCCCTGACAAACAGCGCTGGGTCACAGCACTGGAATCAATAGTGGCAGGTGGGAGAGTTTCCAGAGAAAAAGCTGAGGCTGATGCTGTGAGTATAAAAGTTTCATTTAATAATAAAATATTCTGGGAGGGAGCAGAGTTTTGAAAAATATTTTTTCGGTATTTGACATACTGAGGTTTAACTGAAGGTAAGTTGTTACTTCTGCCTCATGATGTACAAGATGAGTACCAGGAACTAGTTCATTGCAAGACTGATGCTTTATGTTACAATACCCTCCTTTAGACTTGGGGAGTGTAGTAAGAGGATCCCAAAATTATATCTCTGTAATTCCAGCAAACAGAAAAGGAAGAAAGAGCAGTTAGGACATGGTTTAAATCCAACCTCATAATGTACCACATGGAACGAGCAAACTTTAAAAGAAAGAAACAAGCAAAAAGCTCCCTCCTGTGCCGTTCTTACAGAGCTGGGTTTTTTTTGTTTCTTGGGGGGGAGAGGGGCGTGTGTGTATGGTTTTTAGTTTAAGTTTTATTCCTGATAAGAATAAGAGGTTAAATGAATTTGTTTTGGTTTTGGATAGCCTTTTTCATCATTGTTGCACAGATAACTATTTTCTGATAAAGGGAGGTTTGATTCTATGGCATTGCATATTAGAGTGTTAGCTCTGGAGGTAGGGAATATCTGACTAGCAGGAAATCATCTCTTTTTTCATGCTAGCATTCCCTTTGTCTCTGAGAAAAATACATGCTCCCACCAACATCTGGACTTTTTTTTAATCTTTCCCCTAGGAAAATTTCACGGCTCCATTGCAGGAGATCAGGGGAAATTGAAAGGACAGGGACAACAATAGATTCCGTCTGAGTTTAGGTTAATTGTGATCGGTTTGCCTAACTGTGTTTCAGGTAGATAAAAGTTTACTAATTCTTTTGTAGGAGGTATCCCTGCAGCTTTCAGTTTTCTGAGAAAAAGAAATCTGTGCCAAGCTTTTTGTCTGTCTGAAATTATGACCTTAGATTGTTAAAATACTAGTAGAGAAAGAGATAAAGATTAACTCAACAAAAAAAAAAATATCTTTTTGTCATTTGCAGAAATTGCTTGGAAACTCCCTGCTGAAGCTAGAGGGTGAAGACCGTTTGGATATAAATTGCACAATGCCCTTCAGTGACCAGGTAATGATCATGTTCAGTTGGGCCTTTCTGAGTATCGGACGTTTTATTCATGGAAACGGTGTCTTAACAGCAATATGTGTAATTACATACTTGTTTGTTGTTTTGTTTTTTTCTCTTCACTGGTAAACAGTATCATCCAAGTTTGCTCTCAGAGCATTCCTTGTTCTCCTCGTGGTGCTATTTTTTTTTCCTGTGGTCACTGTAGGTAGTACTGGTGGGTGCAGAAGAAGGTCTCTATGCCCTGAATGTACTGAAGAATTCCTTAACGCACATCCCAGGAATGGGTGCTGTCTTCCAAATTCACCTCATCAAGGATCTGGAGAAGCTACTCATGATAGCAGGTAGGGGGCTATATGTTACCATTTGTCCTGCAGTAAATATATGGTAATTGCTGTGTACTGCTAGGAGTGCTGCGGTGCCAAAGGGTTGGGCTTTCCTTTAGGTTCATTACAGACTTTTTTCTTTTTTTTTTTTTTTAATCCCTATATTTATCAGGAATCAATTACTGTGGTTAACACAGTATTGTCTGAGGCTTTCTTGTAAATGAATATGTGAACGAAGGCTCAGTTAAACCTTCACGAGACATTGATTTCTCAGTTTCCAAAGCTGAGGGAGAGAGGAACCAGAGACAAAACATTTCCAGCTTAGGGGTTAGTCGTCATTTTAAGTTCAATTTAAAAAGTGTTGAGCTGATCAGTGAGCATATCTCTTCCTAATCACTATATAACCTTTCTTTTTAATGTAGTTAACCATTTGAGGACCACAGTGTGATTACTGTGGCCTAGGGCCAACAACTCTTAACCTCTCTTGCTCTAAATGCTAATCCATGTAACAAAATTGGGACTTCTTTTATGGTTTGTTTACTATTCCCTTATGAAAGGAACACCAGCTTTAATCTCTTCATCTGTGGTTTTCCAGAGATAATCTTTCCTACACCGATGCAGGCATGCTGAACGTTAGGGCCTATCTTCATCTGAAAGCCCAAATTATCAAGTGTCTATATGACATTTGTAGTGAATGAAAAACAAATTCTCTCTCTTGTTCTGTTTGTTCTGCATTTTTCCCCTTGTGAAGATTTAAGCTGTCCATGCTTTATTTGTTTCAGGGTGGTAGAGAAAAAAGCGATTGGAAAAAGGAAATCTCACACAAAATGAGGAGAAGGCTATGTTACTGTATTGCTAGACTTCTGAGAGGAATTGGGCTTGGTCTATAATGCAATTTATTAGGGCACTTCTTGGAAATCCATTGCCGGTTCTGTTGGCACAGAGAGGCTAAAGCACCTTTTACTTTAAGAAGTTCTGAAGGGTAAAATAAAACTTCCTGGCTAATTTTGAATAGTGTCCTAATGAGGCCACTGTTACTGTGATCTACTAGACCTTAGCAACACTAATAATCCATGGAGAGAATGGTTGTTCTTCCAGTCGATTTACTGCCTGTTGTACGGTTGGGTTTTTGTAAGTTTTCCATTTCACTTTTAATAGGAATAATAATGGAATGAATTCTATGTGGTACATTGTGACTGTTACCACAGTAACAGCCTGTAGTGACAAGCTGCTGCTTAGGTAACAGAACAGACTTTTGTAGAGAATAGGGAGTTTTCCTTTGATGAAACATAACCATTTTTGTTTCCAGGAGAAGAAAGGGCTCTGTGTCTTGTTGATGTAAAGAAAGTGAAGCAATCTCTAGCCCAGTCTCACCTCCCAGCTCAGCCTGATATCTCACCAAACGTCTTTGAGGCTGTCAAAGGATGTCACCTTTTTGCTGCTGGCAAGGTAGGATACAGCTGCCTTGTGCACCCAGACCACCCTTTAGACTGCACTGAGTTTAATATTAATCAAATCAGCGTCTTTATTTCACTGGCAACAAATCCAAGGTCTATATTCTTGTTTTAAATCTTTTTTCTTCAAAGAGGAGGAGTATAGGGGCTGAAGAGAGGCTGAGCTGGAGACAGTATCAAGGATCTACTACTAATATGAATAAATTCAGTCAGGATGACATGATGGTATAGCCTAAACTGGTACATATTAAGAAATACAGCATAGCATAGCATAACTGCCTCCTCACAGTTGACTTCCATTTTGAGATTTATAATTAGTGAATTCCATCCACTGTTTGTTCTTGAATGTCATGTAACAGTTTCCAGGCTAGCAAATTTACTTAGGTGTTTGCGTCACTTGGTAACTCTTGATATTTACATTAATTCCCAGGTTTAGTATGGAACATTTAGCCACAGCAAAAATTCTCATTAACAATTACTTCTATGGACTACTTTGATAACAAGGTGAACGTCATTCATTTCAAAGTGATTTTTAAGATAACGTTTCAGGGGTTAAAATTTAGACCTAACCTATTTGAATTTCTTATCCCTTTCAATGAAACATTTTTCTGTGGAAAACCTGATTTTTTTATTAACTTCTTTCAAGTATAAAAGAAATCATAGAAGCAGTTCAAATTCACATTCTTTTCTGAGAATGTGAAGAGGCTTTTCATTATTTCACTAATTCACAATAACTACCCTATTAGAAATGTACTTGCTTATCTCTGCAAAGTTATTTCTGTGGCAAGAGGTACTCAGATCTGTTTCACATGCTCAGCATTGGAATTTACTCTGTATTACCGTCTTGAACTATGCTTGTAATCTTCCTCACAGGTTGAGAATGGTCTTTGTATCTGTGCAGCCATGCCCAGTAAAGTGGTTGTTCTGCGATACAATGAGAGCTTGAGCAAGTTTTGTATCAGAAAGGTAAGCTTAGTAATTCCTGTCCGTAGCTAAGGTAATTCACGTATTGCACTAAGACTTTGCTTTGGAGCAAACATCTTAAACCTTTTTGCACGCATAAGAACATTTGTTTGCCAGCTAAAATGATAACAAATTGCAATGTGCACTGACTAAAATTGGAGTAGGCAGCAATTTCCTTTAATAAGAGTTGGCATATCTGGAGAGATGCAGAACAGAACTGTGATTTTTTTTGAGAAACTGGACTCAGCTGTAATCATATCCTCACTTATTTGCCCAAAAAAGGCTTTCTTCTTAATTATCCAGCAGCGTTCCCTCACCTCTGTTGTCTTTGGAGAAATCCATAACAAATGACTTCTCTCTTCTTTGCAATTAAGGAAGCAGTGGGTATCTGAATTTGTTTACTGTACCAGTGAAAATCAAAGGGTATTTATATCATACAGATCCAGAAAAAAAAAAAATAATAGGGATCTCTCCTCAGAACAGAGTTTAAACACTGCCCTCCTTAAAATGGGCTGGTTCCCAGAAACTCATGTCCTTTCCAATTCACAAATTAAGGGATGTTCAGGTCAAACTACATATCCCTGTGAGCTTCTGCAGATTACTTTGAAGGCACCAGTTCAATTTACAGCTTGACTGAGGCTTTTATCTCCACTGAGTGCTACACTGGCACCACTGTGAGGAAGCAGAGTCGGCACAGTAATTCAGATGCTGGCCTCCCTGGAAGTAAAGACATGTTTGATGGAGAAGATCTTGGCACAAACAATGTGGATGCCAGCAAACCTGGAACATCTACAAGCATTTCAGCTGATATCAACTCTTGCTCAGAATGGAGCAGCAGCCGGCAGGAAACACTGAAGATGTACAGTCACCATCCTCTGTTCGTGCTGCCATTCACCTCCATAGTCCCAAGTGCCTTGACAAGGGATCACGTACAAAACATGCAAAGGCGTGATTTAGAAGGCAGGTTTTCCTTATCTTCACTAATCCAGACAACTGAATTTAGATCCTAACAAGATGGCAGCAAGCCCAGAATATGCTCTTCTGTTCTGCCAACTAAACTTCCAGATAAACTAGGAATGATGCAAGGAATCTTGTCCTCAGAAGATCTGGGCATCTGCGTGTTGTTTCAGGCTAACCTGCAGAGCTATCCTAGCTGTTCGATCACAATGCAAATCTTGGTGGACATATCTGTATTACATTGTACCAAGAAGGATGGAAGATTGTGTATGTTTGTCTTCCTTTTGCTTAAAGAGCCATCAAGATAATTTCTTAAGTGTTAACAGCAGAGATGCTTTAGCAAGCTGATACTTTCTGTTGGGAGAATCAGAGTGATGGATAAGCCTACTGACAAGAGTTTTGCTCCGTGGGTTATAAAGAGTTTGGGACTTGACTGGGGTCAATCCTGCTGCAGTTGTCTTAGGATCTTCTGTCTGCCTTTCTAGCAGCTGCCCTGATTCCTGGTGACTTCCAGGCTTGGAAGTGATTGTTCTAGAACAGCTACTCTGGAGCTGGGGTGGTTTTGACTGATAGACTTCTTAGTGACAAGTCTGTCGTTCAACCCTAACTGCTCAGTCCTGGTCTTATGTCATCTCCAGACACTGTTCAGACATGCAGTCATTGACGTGGCTGTGACCTATTGTAAGTAGGGAGCCACTCCCTACTGCTCCAGACAACTGAGCTACAGAGCAGAAGAATATCTTCCAGAATAGCATATTCTTCCAAAAGGAAGAGGTTCTTATTGGGGTTAGCACCTGGAGTTGAGTTGGTATGCGAGTCTATATTCAAGCGTCACCTCCAACAAAACAAAACTACTTCTTCTAGCAAGAGTACTTTTCCATATGCTTTTGAGAGACTGTTAGTAACTTTGAGGTTGCCATCTCTCCCTTTTATAAAAATAAATGTGGCAATATATAATGTTCCAGAATAAGCAAAATCTGTAAACTGTTACAGGGAACTAATATTGGTCCATACTTCCCTCTTTTCCAGGAGATTGAAACCTCTGAGCCTTGCAGCTGCATCCATTTGACCACTTACAGCATCATCATTGGAACCAACAAGTTCTATGAAATTGAGATGAAGCAGTATACGCTGGAAGGTAGGAGACATTTCCTGAGGAATGCACCAAGTCGCTCCACAGATTCTTTTGGTAGGACTTTTTCTAAAGCAGTTTAGGAAAAAAAGTTGTTAGTGATCAAGCTGTTTTTCTCCATTCTCTTTGCAGAGTTTCTGGATAAAAATGACCACACTTTGGCCTCTGCCGTGTTTGCTGCTTCTACCAACAGTTTTCCAGTCAGTATCATCCAAGTGAACCCAACAGGGCAGAGGGAGGAGTATCTGCTATGTTTCCATGGTAAGTGTGTGGCATGGTTGTACAGTTGTTGCACTACAACTGCTCTCTGGTACGTGAACAGTCAGAATGTACCCAAGTACAGTTGTAAACGAAAGCTGAACAGAGTTGACTTTCTAGTACCTGGCAATGAAGAGTTGTTGAAGTCTGTGAATCTAAAAGCCGTGGAAGAGTTGTGGCTGGTGGTTTAAACACTAAGATGCACAGGGCATTGGCACTAAAATAATAGCACTTACTGATCCAGTCTGCTGAGGTGTGTTTGGTCAGCTTGCTTCTGGCTTAAAAGTTCTCCGTCCCTGTGGATCAGGTGCCATGCGTAGGCTTGTGTGCCTGAAGGGAAGGGGTTGTAGTCAATGTTAGGTGCAAACAGGTGTTTGATTATCCTGATGAAACGTTAAGGGGTTTTCAAACTATGGCTTTCTTGTCTGGTTTCCATACAGACAGATGAGACTTTTTAGTCTTCTTGTGATGAAATAAGAGGGTGTTATTTTCTTGTATAGCTGCTTTTGTTGGCCCTCTAGGATAGTGTCGTGGAAATGCACAGGAAGTCTTCAAAAGCCCACTAGCTGTAATTTTGGGTGAGTAACAAACAGTAGGAGTCTCATAGTCTTCCCAACTGTGGATTAAATAACAACCTTACCTTAATTGGTATAGAGAGTACCTTTTGGTACTGAAAGTACATCTAGCCAATTCAATGTCAATTAGAGTAATTCACGGCACACTAGGATTTGCAAGATAGTAAGCACCCTGTCCCTGCTAAAAAGCTGAGGGTCAATTGCCGTTGTCCCTTCAAAAATAAATGAATAAAATTCAGGCGCGTGCTCATGACATGACATTACTTTTCTTGGCAGAGTTTGGTGTCTTTGTGGATTCCTATGGAAGACGCAGTAGGACAGATGACCTGAAATGGAATCGCTTGCCCTTAGCTTTTGGTAGGTGTTGAGGGACATTCACTTGGATTATAGAAATTATTGAAACATTATGGAATATGAAAATTATTTTCATATATTGAAAAATATAAAGGAAGCATCCTTGTGGGACAGGTGTTCTTCACTCAGTGCTTTTGTTTCCTCTTCCCCCTCCCAATTCTCCCAGAAACTATGGAGATTTTCCCATGATCTAAGATTATTATAAATCCAAATGTCAAACCTTCTGAAGTATAAACAATTTGAGGAAAACTAAACCAAAGTTGTATAATGTTCCTAGTCTGGCAGTGATTGAACTGGCTAGTGGAATTTTTGATGATGCTTGCAAGTTTCTGAAATAGTCAAGAATATATAATGTCAGTGTGGTTCCCTCAGGCCTTTTGAACTACCTAATGGGATTTTGTTCAGTTAATAGTGTGTTTTTAATGCCTTTTTCATGATACTTTGGTTAGTAGAATTCTTGAGATACAGATAGTTTCAAAGCGACAATTCTTTAAGCTGCATCTCCCTGCTTAGTAATAGTGTCTATGTCTTATTACAGAAAATATATTTCCTTAGTTTTCCCCAGGGGCTGTGAGGCTCTGTTGTGCTCACTGATGCTTTTTAGAAGTTTTTAACAGAGAATTTTATTTTGTTTTTCCTGCCTTTGCGGTGCTCCTTCAGCCTACAGGGAGCCCTATCTGTTTGTGACCCACTTCAATTCCCTTGAAGTGATTGAGATTCAGGCGCGAGCTTCTCTAGGGTAAGTAAGTAAGTAAGTTAGCTGTTCTCTTTCCATTACTTTGAACAGCATTTGCTGCAAGAATCTGTGTACTTGCCAGGAAAAGGTACAGTGTCATCATTGTAAAGACTTTTTCCTGCAATTTTTACCCAGAACCCCTGCACGAGCCCACTTGGAGATACCAAATCCACGGTATTTAGGGCCTGCAATTTCTTCTGGAGCTATCTACTTGGCCTCCTCCTACCAAGACAAATTAAGGGTGATTTGCTGTAAGGGCAATCTAGTGAAGGAGACCAACAATGAGCAGCACCACAGAGGATCTTCTGCTACACGCAGGTATGATGAAGTCAGTATGTTACAGTCCTTGTGCATCTTGTACGCAAACTTCGCTCCAGATGGCTTTTCCCCCCCAAGTTGTGGTGGGATGCCCTTGTTCTATACGTAGAGATAGAGGCTGGCATTAGCCAGTTACTGTACAGCTGCAATGGAACAAGGAGTAGAGTCACTGATGTTTTAAAATCCAGACGGCAAAGAAACATTAAATCCGTAGGAATATGTGGGTAATCTCCACGAATGCTTTGTGATCTTCAGCTGGTTTACTTTTATGTTGCATTATAGCTGTGACTTCAAAGCTTGATGAGCTTAGATGCTATTGATATGACACTAAACATCAATTGACTGTAACAATCTCTAAAGCTAGAGCCCCTTCCTCTTAAATAATGAGTAGGCCTTAGGGAGATGGCGTTGGGAAGCTGCAATACAATCTTGTTCTGTTCAGCAGAACAGCAATACTTCAGACAGGTGAATAAATACTGCGGTTGATAGTGCCACTGTGCATTGGAAACGGAGAAATTGAGGCTTGTACCTCATCCTAACCTGGCCCGAACATCCTGGAGCTACTGAAAATTTTGTATATGAAAAGGCATATATCAAATGCTAGCATACTTCTTTTATATGGAAAAGTATACTGCTGAAGTATATGAAAATGCGTACTTCTGTGGCCCGTTAAAGAGACATGACTTGCATCATTAGCAGTTCATTAAGGCACTTTACTAGTGTGGCAAATGTAATGAATACTCAGCTATCAAAATATCTTTGCACTTTTCATCTTGGCTCAGGGAGGTCTGATGCTTTTTCACCTAAACACTGCTGGGTGTTTGGGGAAAGTTACATTTTTTGCTAAAAGAAAATGTAACGTGAGGTTTTTGTCGCTCAGCTGTTCGCGTCCATTATTTTTGAATGACAGCAGCCCTAACAAGAGAGGTCCGCCCACATACAACGAGCACATAACCAAGCGGGTAGCATCAAGCCCAGGACCACCGGAAGGTCCAAGCCACCCTCGAGAACCAAGCACACCACATCGGTACCGCGAGGGAAGGACAGAGCTGCGGAGGGACAAGTCACCTGGGCGACCGCTGGAGAGGGAGAAATCTCCAGGCCGGCTTCTGAGCACCCGCAGAGAAAGGTCCCCTGGAAGACTGTTCGAAGAGAGCAGCCGAGGACGAATGCCTGTGAGTGGTGCCAGAACTCCTCTTGCTCAAGTCAATAAGGTAAGTCAGGAGCCTGGAGAACTTTTCTGTTCTCAGGAAAAGGCATGTACTGCAGAAGGGCTGGTGGTACTGTAAAGTACAAGAGCAAATCAAACTTCACCCCCCGGCCCCTCAACTTCTATTGAAACAGAGCACGTATGGTGTAACTCACTGGCCCTATGAACACCTTCCCTTGTGCTAGTTCTGTAACTGCAAAAGCAGCTTGACTCCGGAACAAAGTCCTCCAGATCTGAAAGCAAAGGTGCATTTACCAACAGAAGTCAAGTTGCTGAGACCTCGAAGGGGGACAATGTCTGGAGGAAGGAATGTGGGAGCCTGCTGTGTTCAGAGTGATGCTGACAGTGCTTGCCTTTGTCAGTGCTTTAAGAATTATGCCACCTAGAAGCAAGCAAGCATACAGCACTCAGCGGTAGCAGCAGTAGTTAGGTGATGTACTGCTGCTGGCACCTGTGCGTATGTGAGAAAAAAATATGTGCGACTTGTAACTGTCATTTTATTTCCCTGCCAGGTCTGGGACCAGTCTTCGGTGTAAGTCTCAGCTAGACAAAGTTACTCATCTTGACCTGCAGGAAAAAAAAGGAAATACACTGAGTATATGCACTCCATATGTCTGCTGCCCAGTTACCAAAACAGCATTCCTGGGCCAAAGCTCGCTCCGCACTGGGAGACGTGACGCTTTTGAAGATTGTTCGCATCTCAGTTAATTTCTCTGCACTTTCCTGCACTCCTGTTTTTGCACTTTGTACTACTGTTACTCTTTCAAGCAGTTCATGAACTTTTTGTATTCACTTTAGTCCCTAGTAGTTCATCAAGGAAATTAAACGGGACTAGAGTCCCACCCCAGGTCTTTACTGTGGTTAGCACCCCTTACCAGATAATTGATGATAGTTCTGAAACACGCTGGGAATGCCTGGTGGCCTGGAACCAGAAGGGCCAAGGTGAGTGAGTCTTTCAATAGAAGGTGTGATTGGATATTCTCTACAGAACACAAGAAAAATTACTTCTGATTAGTCTGTTCACCTGCCACTTCTGAAAGTTATTTTGTTCTCACTAAAATTGCTCTAGAGCAGCTCTGATGGGGAGGGAAGAACCCTGCTTTAAACGATCCCATGTGCCCGGCCCTGAGACAAAGTGCATTACCTATAAGCTACTGGGGTGTAAGACTTTATCCAGGTCTTCTGCATGACAGTTCACTGCATGCTGCTGCACCATCACTGGCTGCTCTCTCCTTTTAGGTTGCTTTGCTGAGTAGTGTATTGTACCTCACTTGTAAATTAACTGAAACCTTTAGATTACGCTGCAAAATAACCGTTAAATACTCTGGAAATTTGGCAACGAAGAGTTAACAAGCCTTATTCTATGACAAGAATTACAGTCACGCTTGTGTTCTCCTCTCAGCGTTGAACACGGTCCCTTCGGAAATGACACCGTAGTCCCGACAGTCTCGCATCCCCCAGAGAGAAGAGCAGCCCAGGCCTGGCTCTTCCCGTGATCTGTAACTTGTCGTACAATAAGAACCAAATGTCATGGCACAAGAGGATACTCACAATGAACAGCTTTAGCGGTTACTGAACACACCTTCACCTTTGCTTCTGCGTATCTAACCTCGAGCCATTTATTGCTTTCTATTCTCTTTTGCTGTGAACATGAAGCAGAGAGCAAATGATTTTCAAAGCAGGTTTTGACCATTCAATCTGCAATAGCAACATTCTAAGTGAACAACCATGTTCTTTACAACTGGAAAGAGCAAAACTGCATCCAGTCTTCCCTTGGCCACACTCTTAAACTTCTGCTAGTCCCTCGCAAGCCTGTGCTAACCTGTTCTAGAAACCCATAAAAATTCAAATGCCTTGTCAGTGTCCTTTGGCGAGTTTCATGAATATTGTATTCCGTTCTCGTCTGTTAGGTTATTTTAGGTCAGATGATTTGGCAGGAAACTTGCTGAAAGTTTTTGTCTCCTGGTCTGGATATTTTGAAAGGTCACTGAGATCAGTCTTTAAATCTTTGCATCTCATGGAAGATCTTCAAGACCTCAGAAATGGGCTTGTTGAGTCCTGAAAGTGTATATCTTGTCTTGTTCGTGAAATGCTTCCTGCTATAGAAATAGCTCAAAGGACTGTACATATTTACAAGAAACTTTATATTCGTAACAAAAGGGAATTGAATTGGTTTCTACTTTTTTATTGTAAACTGTGCGTTTTTCAACACTAGCTTTTTGTTTTAATGGTGGTTGTGGACAGCCATCTTCAGACACTGGAGGGGCCTCAGCTTAGTCCTCCTCGCTCCCATGAAGAAATATTGTAACATTAAATTGCAATTGAAGCTTGTTAGCATAAATGAGGTTTTAGGTCTCTAAAAGTACAGGATTTTTCTTCATTACCTTTTTATTATTGACAAGGGAGGGAACCAGAGGGACAGTTCAAAGCTCCACCTGGAAAGTATTGAACTTTGTTGTTGAACAATAACCAAATAAAACAAATAACTATCTTGACTGGCATGGTGAAATGAACGCTTCCTTCTATATAGAGTAACACTGAGCCATCCTACCATTGCACCCAGCATTAGAGGCTGTGTAATCTATAGGTGTCAAAGCTTACCAAAGAGCTAACCTTGACAAATATTTAGCATTTTAATAGTCGTTATTCCCTGAACAAGTAGCATAAGTGGCTTCACAAAAACAAAGCATGTTCATGTGAACTAAAACAGGTGGATTTGTCCAAATATTTTACTAGAGCAGCAGTCAGCTGCAAACACCTACAGCTAAATTCTGCCCTAGTGATACGGGCAGAGGTGAGACACGTGTGAGTATCTGGGAAAACAATCTTGCCCTGGTAAATGACCCACACATCTTGAGCTGGAAAAAACCATCATCTTAATTAACAACAGTGTGATCTAATGACAGGTTTGGGATTTATCCCAGCAGTGTACTGGTAGCAAAGCAGACGGAGACAATTACTCATCCCACCGCTGTAATATGCTGGTGCTTTAAGGCCTAATAGCTGCAACTTTAAAAAAAAAAAAAACATTCACAAATCAAGTCAGATTGAGTACAACCTGCAGAGTTACTGTACATCTTAACATACACCTGCTGGGAAAACTTGCTAGATCAGACTTAAATGTAAATACATCTATTTTTAACTGAACCAGTTTTTACAGGGTCTGAAGTATTCTTTCACAGGAAGAGGTTTTTAATATTCACACTGCTGCCTACAGTAACTTAATTTGTCCTCCTACTGTTCAGTGTTTTTGGTTCTGTGCACATACCCACCTCCTTACCCCCAATAAAAGGTTTGTTGGAGGGTGTGGGGGTGGGTTACTAATAGCTCCTCTTACATTTTGGTCTACATGACATTCTTCATGAAAATGCGCTACATAAAACCCAAGCTGCTTGATTTATCTATTGTGCCTACTATCTGATGTATATGATGAAATGCTAACTTGTTAAATGTTCCTTTCTTTCTATTTTACTGTGCACAAAGAATACTTATTTAAAGCTCATTGTTGCAGTCCTATGATGCATGATCAGAATTGTAACAAAACTAAAATAATCCAGAAACTGGTGGAGTAAAAAAAAATTATTTATTGAGCCTTTTGATTACCAAGAACCCTGCACAAATCCACAGTCAGCTTGACCACCACACACTGTGCTGAAATTCAGGGGGTCGGGGAGGGCAGGGAACTCTTGTTATTTCTGCTGTAGACACAGAACGTAACGGCTTACTCAAGAGTCCCAAAAAATGACTATAACAAAAGTCTCTGCATCTACCTTAAAAAAAATGTGCTCTCCTAGCAACAGCCAAGAATAAACATAACAGCACAGACTGGGAGCTGTGGGTGGGGAATGTAAGTGAGCTAATAAATCCAACTCTTGATCCAGCTTTTGCCTTTGGAGGGATCTGATTCATCCCATTACAATAAGGGAACACAGTGTGATTAATCTAATTCATTCACCTGTCAAGCAGAAAACAACCTAGCAAAAAACCCCCAAAAGACCCCCCCACCCACACCCCCCAAACCGCCCCCCCCCAGCAAAAAAACAAACTAACCAGCCTACCTCTTCCTTCATCAGCCCCCTGCCCTGGCAGGAGCCAGCCCTCCCGCAGATGCTCCTGCTGAAGAGAAAGGGAGTTGGGGGGCTGCTGCAGCTTACCTGGAGGAAGGCCATGGCTCCCGGGAGATGTTCCTTGAGGCCATAGGTGCCAGGGGAACACCACACCTCCATCACCTTGCCCTGCCCCGTCTGGGAGAGGTCCTTGGGCCTGAGGGCAGCTGTGCTCACTCACCCAAACGAGCAGAGGAAGGTGGAGGTGATTATGGCACGATTACTCTTGCAAGCCCTCAGGTGATGTGCGGGGCTGCTTGCAGGTCACAAAGCCTGGGCCACTTCACCCTGGTTTCTGAGGCAAACAAGCAAAGATTTTTTGGAGCTGCAAAAGCTAATGGTGCAGCACCGGCTGCAGACCAGGTACCAAGTGCTCTACCATCTGAGACACGGCTATAGCCTCCAAAATAAAAAAAAAAAAAAAAAAAAAAAAGCTCTCTATAAAATAATTGGTTCTGTCCTGTGGTTCCACCATACCAGCACTGATGAAAAGCCTGGAGTGAGTCATGCATATATGTAATTGGAAAAAAATCCACAAAGCTTAGCAAGAACTAATGAGACAGAGTCCATAAATACTGTTAAGTAAGTCTAGCATACTTTCACCTTCCTTTCTGTTCTCCATTTTGCAACATTTCAGCTTTAGTGTTTGACCTGTGAAAAATTTGTTTTGCAACTGAAGGAAAAAAACAAACCACAAACCAAACTTACTAAGCTACCTCTAAGGTCCTCTCTTCTTCTAGCAAAATAAAAAAAAAAAATTCTAGGTCATTCAAATGAGAAATTTGTGGTATCATTTCCCTGCTGGCAGTAAAAGCATTTAAGAGGACTCACTGCATGACTTCTGTCTGCCAATACACTCTCACATCTACTTTTCTTTGAACGCAGCTGAAAAAATTCCTTCCAACACTTGCCTCTCCGCTGCTGATGCTTAGTCTACCAAACAGACTCCGTTCTGCACAAACGCCTTCACCGAGTTTGCTTCCACAGCATGTCACCTGCATTTGGCATCCTGCAGCGCCCAGCTCAGCCCCATCACGAGATCCCAGAGCACTTACCGCCGGTGCCTTGGCCCACGGTGCCCGGCCAAGCGCTCCCAGCCCACTGCGCACACCCCTTGGCTGCGCCGTATCCACCAAGCAAAGGCATGAGCACAGCCTTGCCCACCACTCCTCAAGCTGCAGGCTGCCAGCCCTCCTTCAGTTCACCAGGCAACGCACCGTGACCGCTTCTATTACCCGACAGCAGAGCCTGTCATCAGAGACCCCAACACATCGCTTCCGTGCAACAGCTCTGTTGTGCTACAAGACATCAGGCACTAGCGCGCCTTTGCTGCCGCCATTACGGAAGGAGAGGCCATTATTTAATGACAGCATCATCAGGCAGGGAACTGACAAAGAATGGCTGTGGTCACCCGCTGATCTGCCAGCACATACTTCTGCATTTGAACATCCAGGTGTTTTGACTGAGTGAGTTTACACTTCAACAAAAGGCAATCCTGTTGAATTAGTTAACTGGAACTGTTCCAACCCGCTCTTCCTTCTCTGCTATTGATGCACCTTTGTTTACTGCCCCGACACAACCAGCTCAAGATAAAAGAAACCTCTACCTCCCCAGGCCCCAGCAAAGCCCACAGGCCTCCCTGCAGCATGTGCTGCTCTGCAGCTACCAGCCCCAATCCCACAGCCTCTTCCCTGACCTCCTCACAAGTAAGTCAGCATTTTCTGGTGCCGATAAATATTACAGAGGGTGCACAGCCTACTCCAGCGCCATACACCTGCCTGTGACACCACAAACCATATCCAACCCGCAATCACACGCTGTCAAGAAGAAAGGCTTGGGAAAAACGTCTGCTTGAAGAGTGGCTGGCTGGAACAGAGAGAAGCCAATGGGAGGCTTAAGACCAATACCAAGTTTTTCAGCCCTAAGGAACTGACTGCTGGAGCTTTTTACGCAATTGTTCTTCCTGTAAGCTTTACATCACAAATACACACTAACACCTCCCTCATCTTATTTACTGATTAACTGCAAGCGAACAAGGTGTTTCAAGCTGCATCTATGAATGAAAAGTTGCACAATCCACCAAGGCATAAAACTGCAATCAGGCACTCATAGGTTACAAAAGAGTAACAACTAAAGGAAGCTGAGGTTACCAAAGATGGGAAGGATAATAACAAAGCAAGTCACCCACTTTTCTTGAAAATGTTTTATTTGTTTCTAAAGAGGCTGAAAACAAAAGCAATTCCATATTTCAGAATACCAAATACTATCCATAGCACAGAACGAAGAAAGAGTTTTCAGAGAAAACCATTGCACTAGACCCGGATCTACTCGGCTACTCAGGATATTGCAACAAGGCTAGTGAGCAGATCCGAGGATGGCAAACCACCCTTCCACTGTGGCTGGTTCCACTGAACGCTGGCTGCTGCAGCTTTTGTCCCCACTCAGACTCCTTACCGATTTGTGCAATGTGCTCTTCCCCACAGTCGGACAGGGGCTGGTTATCATTGGCACAGTCGCTGGCACTCGCAGGCACCAAAAACAAACAGAGGGAAGGACCCAGCAGGTCACTTCCTGAGCTGGTTCCTCCAGGGCAGGCCCGAGGCACACTGGCAGGCAGTTTTGCATTAATGTTGCATTTGTTTTGGGATAAAACAGGCTGCGAGTACCAAGTACAGGCAACCTGGTGCTACTATAATCACTTAGAAAATATAAACAGAATAAAAAGTTGCAGAGATCCCCACAGCCTTGGCTGCAGAAGCACCAGGGATGTTATACCCGTGGTCAATGCTGCAACCTGGAGCAGAGGCCCAGCTCCAGCCCTGGGCACAGAAGGATGCAGTGCTGCTGTATCCAGCGTGCTGCAACTGCTTACACCAAGGGGCAAGTTTGGCCACTGGGAGACGGGTGACTCACAGTCACCTTCAGGCTGTTACTGAAGAACTAATCCCCAAACTGAATACATCGATTTCCTTACGGCTACCTATCCCAGCTTAAGGAAGTCCTTATCAGTGACAGCAAGAGAAACTAGTTTCAAAAAGCAGATTACTGCAAGACACATTTATGATTTACAGAAAAATCCAGCCGTTAAAAACAATTGTCTTTACCAAAATTCCACAGGGGAAAACTTGTATTTCAGTTCTCATGAAGAGAAAAACTACAGAGCTATTCACAGCAGAAACAGTGCACTCCAGTCTACCGTAAAATAAAAATGAACTTGTCGGTGATTTGTGTCGCTGATTTTGCCTAGCAAAGGCTGCTACAAAAAGATCATCAATATTCACACTTATTTCAGCCATACAAGTTTGGAACTTGCTACTGAAATAATTGCGTGTTTGATGAGTTATGAAAGCAGTAATGGGCTTGCTTTTGCTGAGTGTTGAGCTCAAGTAAGATTCCACAAGAATCCTGAACTTTCTAGACTTTGGGCTGGCTTGTTTATTACTTACAGTCTGCCTCACTGCTGAAGGTCTTTAATCTGTTGCTGCCCTCACACTTTTCAGCCTAATTAAATTGCTGTTTTTTTAACTGAGCTGACAACAGGCACTGACACCTTTGCCATCTGTCTAGTTGTCATGAAGCTGCCATCTCCAAGAACTTCCAAGGTGGGACTGGGAAAATAAGGCAAATATAGGAGAACTTGGAAGTCTCAGAAACAATATGAAATCGGAGTTCATTTGCTACAGCACAGAGCAGGAATAAATTTGGTTAAGAGAAGAATTTTTTTCCCCCGAGACTGCACTAGCCCAGAACAATTGGTCACAAACTACTGTGATGCTCATATTGGCTTGTACAGCAAAGTAGTCACATATTTCTTCTTGTAACGATGCGTAGCACTAAGCACCATCACTCCATCCTACAGGAGATGGAAAACAAGTGAGCATATTACATGGTTATCTAAAAGCTGCAAGTGTGAAGAACATGCCCTGGTCTCTCACCTTGATAGAAAGTGCGTAGAGGTGGTTCAGCATGACATGGTTGGGTTCAGGGAGCAGAGCAGGATCGCACTGGAAAAAAGAGAAAGCGAGACAGTGTGAAAATAACGGAACTCACAGTTTACTCATCACAGCTGATGAGTGATAAACACCGTCTGTAACTAGCCATATCCTCAAATACATCACACCACTTCTTACACCGAGTTCATCAAGAAACGTAGACAAAGTTTCAGAACAATCCAAGATCCCTCCAGGGTGAAACCCTCTGCATCCTCACTGCAACCATAAAACAGACCTCAATTATTTCTTATGTGCTTCTGACATTTTAATAGTGTTGCAGTGGGAAGATTAGGGTTTCTGGGAGTAAAACAACAATCTAGTTTTCTTTTCAATTTTGAAGAGAGTCAAGTAGAAAAATAAATTTACTTCAGATGGATCCACCTGGACGTATACAATAAGGAATTTATGAACATGGCAACTATTCTAAGGTTTTTCCTTGCCTGTCCCCTGTCTGTACCCAGGTTTTTCCCCATCTGTTCACAACCTCAAGGCCATTATTCAGCAAAACAAACTAATGTACTCACAGAAATGCCTGTGTCCTTATTCAGGATGACCTGCAACAGGTGGGGCGGAAGAATAGGTGGCGATTTAAAGCGCTCCTCTGCCTTACAAACGTAGGGCTCCTGGTGGTACGGTCCTGGAGGTGAACTTGACAACTCTGCCAGAGAGATGTTAAATATTTATTCTTAAATAGTCTGTAAGAGTATGTGCTCTTTATAGGTACCTTTTTACCACTACTCTAAGTTGCTTTTCACATCCAAAAACATGTGGCCAAAAGAAATCAATGGCATGTAGTACAAGAACTGTAGCAGCTGATGCAGTGCCAGAGGATCAGTCACTGCCCAAGAAGTGATTTAAGATGTCCAAAGTCTGTCTGACTTGAGACTAGCTGTGAAGATGTGGGAGGCCAAGGGCCCTACTGCACTCCAGAACTTCACTGCCCAGCACTTCTCCAGCAAACACTTAATGGTAAACATTGCTCTACAATGTTACCTCCAAGGGAAGCGCTAAAAACATGGTACACACAGGTAAAAAGCATGTATTAATCCTGTACAGGGACAGGGTAAGAGAAAGGGCTCTTCAGAGTGTAAAACAATATAATGAAAAGTTGTTACATCTTGTGGCGGGGAAACATTTACTAGAATCTCCTCCTGGCTTCTTGCAGCATCCAAGTCTCACAAATCACACCCTTTCGCCAAAAAGGCTTTCTCCAGGGGAAAGTAGCATAGAGCAAAAACCAACCAAACACACCTTCTGCCTCAGATTCAAAGGACAGGTCTTCTGAGGGAGGATTTAAGGTACTATTTCAACCATGGTCCCCATCCCTACAAAGGTCTATAAAGAACAGGTGGCAAGGCTGACCTCAGAGATGACTCAAGCTAAATCTTACCTCTCTTCTGTTACACTAGAATATGAAACTTGAGACAAAAATACAATTTTTATACTATTCTAAGATTCAGATCATTTATACTAAGCTGAGAGCATATGACATATGACTGAGCCTGTATTAGCACTAAGATGCATCTAAATTCTACCTCTTAATGCGCAACTTCTGACCTCCTCAACCCATCTCCTTAGCAGAGAAAGACTGTATTAGGAGCAGCATAGGCTGTCAACATTGGCTTGATGTCGTAAGGTAGAGACTGATCCACCACTGAGTGCGCCCAAACCAGCCATTTGACATCGCACAGGCAAACAAACAGCTATTAAGCACCCATGACTTCCTCCTAATCAGATCTACAGTAACCTGTGTTGCTCTGTCAGAGGCTTCCTCCTTTATGCATTCCACATTATTCCTTTGTGCACTTGTGACTCCTGCACACGTCCGTCCACAGGGCCTGACAAACATGTAGATTAATCTATACTGGAGCTTTAACTCCAGATGAAAAGGAAGATGGAATTTTTAACAGCTCTATAAAGTGTAATATAAAATCACCAGTAAGCTCATACCAGACATGTCTGAACATTTCTGGGAGTCCACCATCAAAGCATCAAATACTTCAAAGTCAGTTTTCTTCACCTGTATGATATTGTTGACGGTACCTAGCTGGCTGGTTACTACTGGCTGGGAAGAAACAAGATACAAAAGTCAGAATAAAAAAGCTTGCAGGACTATCAGATTCTCAAAACTACACAATCAGCATTACCAAGAATGAGATATATTGCTTTTAAAATATGCTAGTACCACATATGAAAAGAGCTCACTATTGCTCAGTTAGTGTTAGTTTAAGAGCAAGTACAGGATTTAGGACTGAGGGGGATGCATATCAGTTGAACCTGCTAGGTCCACAGCACTCAATAAATTCCTGAGCTATACATAAGGCTAGGATCAGGTTTGGGCTAAAGTTAACAGTGACAACACAAGGAGCTAACCTTTACTTCTAGCTTCTACAGAGGCTTCAGAGCCAGGCTGAGATCTGCATGGCCTGATGTAGGACACGAGTACACTTGGTATTGCTGGTTACTACCAAAGCTAGGACTGGAGACCGAAGCAGAGGTTTCAAAGAGCTAAATTTACTGCAAGGTGAATTCCCTGAGGTTCTGCAAGGTTTGCCAAGACAACAAGAAGACTGGAACCAGCAGCTGTGAATGATTAGCTCTGAGGCAGGTAGGGATTGCTAGGCAGGCTAAGGTTAAAGCTCATTTTATAGCAGAGGAGGACGAAAAGGACTGGTAGATTTTGGCACAATTACTGGACTATGAAAAGATCCAGAGCAGCAATAAGAACATTCTGGCAGACAGCAAGCACAGCACAGAGAGATTTGGGCTGTCAGCAATGCTACAGTGCTTTAAAAGACAGTTTGGCACTAGACAAGAAAAGCTCACCATATCTTATAAACCAATACCCAAGAGATCTTGTGACCCATTTGTTACAAAAATCTCCTGTCCTTTGAGATTGTCAGTCTGATGCTGCCACCTAGGCCAGCTGGGAGCAGAAATATCTTTATCACCAGCTTAAACAGTCAGTTTCTGTTGTTAACCAACACCTTCTCTCTGAAAAGGCCAGCTATTGGTAGAAAAACCAGCCAGTTTCTCATCTTCCAATGCCTCAATGAATAAATACAGAGAATCAAAGAAAACAATACCTCTGAAGGATCATGCGTCCACTGCCCATCCACAAAGAACTTGTATTGGTGCTCTCCTTCTGGCAGGTCCAGAATTGCCACAAAGTTATTGTGGCTGGAATTTAAGACAAACAAATCAGCCCTGAAATATTCTGAAAAGTACATTGATCTATAAACTGTGACAAACACTGTAACACAGAATATAAGCCTCCTTAACGTGCAAAAACTTAAAAAGGCAGTGCCACATTTAAGAGAATCTCTGATGCAATCTAAAGGTAAAGAATCAAATTAAGGTTAATGTTAATGATAATTTCCTCTGTGACAGTAAGCCCCTACACATTCAAAATTAGTATCCACATTCCTGGCATCAAGTAATTGGCACTGAGCTTTTGTAAAGTCATCTGCACATCTTCACACTACTTGTTAGTACATGAGACCTTATTTTATCTGCGATACTGCTGTTGATGGAACAAGATCAGCTTACTTGTATTTCCTTGCCTTTCAGTATTTGCCATCATAAATTGCATTTCACAAATGCCTATGAAATAAATGAACAATGACTAGAAGATGAAAGCAGCAACTCAATACTTCTGAGTTACTTTAGGTCTGAATAGCTGCTGCTTTGTAATTTTGATACTCCTGTGCTGTGAACTTCCTGATTCTTCAGAAGTCTTTACCAGCATCTCAAAGAAGCTGAGAAACAGTGGATGCTATGTGAACAATTCAAACAGGCCACACAATGCCAGTAGCTCTCTTTACTTCTTCTTCTCAGATAAGGAGCACAAGCATACCACCACAAAGCTGGATTTGAAATTTCAGTTTGGAATAACGAACTCTTCTGCCTGAGCATATTTGATTCAGTAACATGATTTTATCTAGCCTCTAAGGAGGTCCAAATATCTCCTTTCCCAGAATACCTAATCTGACAAGAGGCAAACCTGTCTTTTCTTTTTTTTTTTTTTTTTTTTTAAAAAGACATTTTTGTCCTTCTTCCAGATTCATTTCACCATTTCCCGTCTCCCAGGCTTTCTACTTAAGAGTATGACGGTAATACTGATGTTCCATTGGCCTTTTTTCCAGCTCCTGTCTTGATAATTTATTTCACATTGTTCATGCACAGAACAATCCTCCCATACCATTTTATCAGGCCACTATGCTCCTCCCTCAAGTCTCCTAAGAAATTAAGACACTTCTGCAACAATGACAATGCAGGTAGTCACTCACTGAGATAAGAAACACCAGAAATTAGCAGGAGACAAATCTTTCATGAATATGTCATCGTTGACAGACAACAGGTCTCAGATCAACAGCTAAATTCAGACTCTCCACCACCCATTAAGTTTTAAATTTTTGAGAAAACATTGGTTTAAATAAAATACTTACTCAGGTACTGAATTAAGCAGAGCTCCAGAGCTCTCTGGAAGGAAAAAGCACTTGGTACTTTAACACAGATTTGTTCTCTCGTTCATGTAGTTTACCAGCAGTATCACAGGTTCAGTTTCCTAAGCAGAATCTGGACCCTTTGAGCTGGGCAAAAGCCAATGATATGGCAAGAAAGTACATGTGCCATCAAAGACACTATGCTTAAAACTAACTTCACCTTACATATCCCAACTCCACCCCAGGTAGCAGACTGCACAACAAGGATTGTTTCAGGTCATTCACGCATGGTGCCTAGTGAACAAATCACTCCAAAATTGACACACAGCTCAACTTTCATCCTGTGCCATCCAAGAATCAAAAAGTCAGACTCTCATCAAGAGCTTGAGAAGCGAAGCAGGACAGTAGTAAATCCAAGCACAATACCAATCTATCAGCTGACCACCTTTCTCACTGCACTAAGCATTCCCAGCCCATGGGGAATATCACCAATACAGCAGCAGCAGTTTATTACCTCCTTGTCAGAGGAATTTTACTCCAGTTGTTGAAGGACCCAGATAAATAAACTTCTTTCCCTCCTCCAGTCCAGCGAAAGACTGTTGGTCGAGCTTGAGTGGGAGTTTTATCATTCACTTCCAGATCTTGTTGCCAAGCTAGGAATTCTTCTTTCTCCAATGGAGCCTACAAGCACAATGTCTTAATCAAAAGGATTCTTTCCTGGCAGACTTAGACAACCTGTATTTTACTGACGGCATTTTTGCGCTCAGGCACGATTCTCTAAGGTACAAGTCTACAAGTAGTTTTTGTCAGATGGAGATTAGAAACAGCATTTCTAGATACTGTTCACAAATTCATTTGCACAAGTTCTGCAAAGATGTCAAAGCCTTCCAAATTTGCAGAAAGAGTGGAAGGCAAAATAATCCCCTGCCCTCCAGCCTAAATTAGGCTAAAAAGAAATGACTTGAGCTCACAAGAGTTTTCAAAATACACAGATAAAAGAAGAGGGAGAAAAATAATTAAGAAGAAATACACTTAAGCACAAATACCATAGGCACAAAATTTGTAGTTGGCAGAAAGATTATGAATTGTCTGTAGGAAACAGCTCTGTCCAGCAGTCAAAATCTAAGCGTAATTTTCTGTTAGATATTCTTAGGAAACACGATACACAGCAAGGCATTTCTAACAATCCATCTAATACTGAGCAAAAATCCAGTTAACTGATCTTTTAATATGGAAAATAACAGACAGGTAAAACATCACTGGTGACTGCAAGAGCATTAAGGATCTGAGGGAAGCTGGGGCACTGTACCTAGAACTCGGGAAGAGCTTTGAGCCAGCTACATTTTAGTTTTTCTACAGTTAATTCTTGCTGCAAACCATGACATTACGCTCATTATATCTGCTTGAACACCAATGCAATACCTCTCCTTAGCGTGGGAAACAAGGGAGACAGTCAGTTTTGTGTGTAAACTCAGTGACAGAACTACGGAAGGATGTTAAGAGCACCACAACTAGACAGCATTCCCAAGCTAGCAAAGTTAGAAGACAAGAACAAACCAGCAATACCTTCATTTCCTCTGAATGGAACAAGTCTGCATCTTCAGGACTGTCCATTAGAATTTTTGGTCTATCACCCTCTTTTGTACTGATGGCTCCTCCTGAGTTGTCACCTCGGGATGCCTTATGGCCATGACGCTCCAGTCCAGCTCGCTCGCTGCTTGTGTTCCCCATTTTTAATGGCCTAAAAGAGCAGGAAAAGACAGATTAGCACACGTACTTCTGAAGCCAGAATGCCAGTAGGCAGGAAAGCAGGCTCATCAGTAGACCTGGGCTCTGTTTCTGAGTTGAAGAGTCTAAGAAACTTGAGTAACCCCAAATGCTAGAATCTTAAAATTATAACAAACTCAGAACAAAGACACTAAATGACAACTTTTAGCTACTCTTGATAATGTGCTACAGTTCAATATCCTAGCATCTCTGCAACTCAGCCACTCTAAAAGTTGACCAAGCTGGTATCTGTCACTGCAGCACATTGGTATTCTGTCTTGCCAAGCTAAGTGCTTGTTCTTCTCTCTTCTGAATACCTACACATACAATGTTCTACCACATCAACAGAAACATCAGCAGAACTTTCTGTCAGAATGCTTCAAAAACAGCCTACTAGAAATGTGACTTCACTAGGAAATAAAAAGTTAGCTGAGGTGGCAGCCTGCTGAGGATCCTTACAGGGGCCGGCTGTGGCTCTGAAGCGCAAACAGCACAGTCCTGCTGGTGCTCCGCTGGAGACTTCCTCCAGTCTCTGCTTTTCTCTGGGAGAGGCAGGGGCCTGCTATGCAAGAAACGCAACACTTCTTCCCGCTCCACAGCCCATGTGGCCACATCCAGAGGCAGAACGGATGAGACTAGATGCACATGCCATATCTTATCTGAAAGACTACTTACAGGCGAAGAGCAGCAACTTAGGGGCAGCCAAGGGGACCGTCTGGACCCATACAAACAGGCCCTTGGAACCGTACAAACAGACCCTTGGAGCACACCCAGCAGGATACAAGCACACGTATGGGATATCGTTCTGTCCCCTGTAAGCTCAGATTATGGACATTGCCCAACATTCAACCGTACAGATCTCGGCTCAGTCACAACCTGGCAGTCTCGGCACGCGTGGCTTAAGTAAATAAACAACTAAACAGGTAATTCGACGACAAAAATTAAGCATAAATGCAAACGTTAAACAGCTACGTGAAATTTCAACAGCTTTGCGCATCCATTCCGTATCTGCTTTAAGCGGCGACTCGCTGATTCTGCGAGACGGACTGTTGAGAAGGCCCCGGTGAAATCCCACAGCCCCTCAGGGTCTCATCAGCAGACACACCTCCGCGCCGTACCTGCCGGGCCGCCTCAGGCCCCGAGGCGGGCAGCCGGGCAGTCACCGCCTCCGCCACCCACCTCTCCCCGGCCCGGTTCCCCCGCAAGCGCCCAGCAGGGCGGTTACAAAGGCCGCCGGGGCTGGCACCGCCGGCAGGGAACCCACCTCCCACCTTCCGAGCCCACCGCCGTCCCTCCACCGCCGCCCCGGCGCTTCCGCTTCCGTCCGGCCGTGTGCCCGCGCTGCCGCCCCGGGGAAGAACCCGAGCCCGGCGCGCAGGTTCCGGCGCCGACCCCGGCCCCAGGCAGGCGGCCCGCGGGGCCTGCAGCAGCCCAGAGCCGTCCGCGGCCGCTCCCGGGTCCGTCAGGCCCCTGAGGCCAGGCTCGATGCTGACTGTCCCGCCAGGGCTATCCCATACCCGCTGAATATGACTGCTAAACTGGTGCCTTAGGTACGAGGTCAGGGGGGAAGCGTGGTGGCTCTTTACCTGCCTCTCGGAGCCGTTTTCTCCAAATCATCACCGCAAGGAGGTTTTGGATCTGCAGGAGAGTTGCAGATGAGTGAGCACGGGGCCGCGGGAGCTAGGCAATAAATGCATTTCCCCTCTTCGTGAAACGGGAGCAAGAGCCAGCTGAGTGGACGCCGACCATTGGGTGGTCGAAGCAGGCTGTGAAACCACCGGCACATGGCTCTCTTTCCTCTGAGGAAGCAGAGGTGGAAATTTAAGTCCTCAACTGATAAGTGTTTCCCAAATTAAATTACACTCGTATATTTCTCTAACATATTTCTCTAAGCATTTCCAATTACGCTATCTCATTTTACCCTTTGCTCTTCATCAGCTGTTGCTGTCTTTCTTCCACTTTTCTAACAGGCATGAAGTTGGGAGGATTGCAGGTTCCTGGATTGGCAGTTCTCTTTACAAGGAAATGGTTGGTTTTTCCTTAACCAGTCAAAGCAACCTGCAAACAGACAAAAGGATTCCTACCAAATTGAAGTGTATCCTTGTGGCGTGCTGTCATGTTGTGGGAAGAATTCTGCCAGGATAGACAGATTCACCATGCCTAATCGCGAGTGCACGGCTGGCTCCCACAGTATGTTTTGAAGAACAGCTGCTCCTAGTTGTCTTTCGTGGGTAGAATACCTCGGCACAGGACAGCCTGCCAGAGGGGGTGTGAGGGGAATGTGTGTGGGCAGCTCTTCCCCAGCCCCTGCAGAACAGTTACCCTGCTATAAAATGCAGCTGCTGTTATTTTGATATTTCACACAGCTTAGCACTCCTGCATTCTTTGTCTCCAAACCTGATTGTTTTCTTCTCCCCAGTTCTTTTTTGGCCAGCACCAATGCACATGCCTCTGTGTGTGCTGGTTATGTCTGCAGAACTGTCTGCGGCATAGGCTGGAGACACATGCTACCATGTCGTGTCCACCACTTGCCTAGTAGGACCATTGTGATGATCTGCACAACAGCCAGCCAGAAGTACCTTCACTTTGGGGCCCATCCTCACTTCTTTGCAATGGTTTTTGTTACTTCTGAGAACCACAGATAGGCAATAAACGGCAGGATAACGACTGCTAATAGCTCACAAGGCTGTGGGAACTAGTCTGTGGGAGGTCCAAGCATTATTCAAAGTTCTGGTATTAAAATGTGACGGTTCCTCCCCACACAGTGATGAACCATCCATCCATGGTGTGCTACATGCCAAAACCTTCGGGAGTTACTGGCCTGCGGACAGGACAGAGGCAACGGACACAGGCATCTCAGCCTCTTGGTGGTTGGGCTTCACTGTTGCTTTCTCCTTCTTTTCCCCTGACTGCTTCCTCTTCAACCCCAATTCTTGTCTTCCCTCACTGTCAGTCGTGACAGGTGGGTGTAGCACAGTCCTAGAACCTGTAACTCTTTTTTTGTGCGGTGCCTGGTCCCTATGAATTATGACGGCTGGATGACATTACACCATGAACAATGAGTCTTATGTGGGGGGCTTACCACTGCCGCCCACTAAATCATCGCCCTACCTCCTCATGGGCATGCTTGTATGCATGGTTCTCACGTGTCTGGGAGTACTGTATTGTTTTCTCCTATCAGCCTCAGTGGGAGCCCAATTCCCTCACACCTGTTAATGCAGGAGATGTGGGAAGCGAGAGATTAGCTGAAGACATGCCGCAAGGGCCTGGCAGAGCTCATCCACCCACTGATTTTCTGGAACCCTGGAGTTTTGCTCCTCCCTTTAACAGCATCTTTGACTTTTTGCCTCCTTCCATGCTCTGCAACCTGAAGGGCATAAAAACTCCCCCTTTTCCACTCCATCCAGGACCAGCCTCCACATTCCAAAGGAAGACTACAAAATACCTTTTCTACTTCTGCCCCTTTACATACCTGTCTTAACCTTCTTTTTCTTACTGCCAGATGAGGATGTAACAGATGGGGAGCTGGTTCACATTCTTCCATCAAGGCTTCCATATGTGTCACAAATGAGGTTCCTGGTTAACTTCCCTAGTGAGAATGTCAGAGGTGTCACTTGCCATTGAAATAATTTATCACAGTTTTCTAAGCTGTCATATCTCTCAGACAGGGGACACAGCAACAGGCCACTCAGGCTTAGCCCTTGCTAAGCACTCCTGATGTTGGTACCAGAATAATTTGCTCCTTAGCTGTTTAGCTGTGTGCATTGCCTTACAATTCTGGGGCATGCCCAAGAATAGTGACTTTAAGCATTTTCACTGAGGAGAGAAAGAATTAGATAAAAATATCCTTCTTGCCTCTGACACTAACTGCCAGCATGACCTTCAAGAAGACTCTTAATCAAAGGAAGGTGATGCTAGGTTGGGTGAATATTGCAAAATCTTTTAGGTAAATACGAATTCAGAACTGCAGATTATTTTGTTCTGGTGTCTTGAGGACCCTGCTTGTGTTCACTACCTACACTTCCATGGAACGAATGCTCATCTTAAGTAAACATTAAATTTATACATCAGAAAAACAAATACGAAATTTTGATATCAGCAATCACACCAATAATGTGAATGCCCTAGGATTTATGGTTGCCTGCTCAGGAAAAAGAAGTGGAATCATGGAAATTGTATGGTGAATCACAACAGCAGTTTGAATTGCAAATGGCAGGCTGGAGAGTAAAAGGATTGGGGGAAAATGTAACTGAGTAAGTTTGAATAAGAAATTCCTTTGAAAAAAAAGCACAGTCCACTTTCAGACTGTCCACAACCTATAAAACAAGATAAAAGTAATTGATTAAATGCTTTAACAGGTGTCATGACTGTGCTGCACCACCTCATAGGGCAATGTGAGGTTTTAAAAGGAGACGCTTGTAAAACACCTGCAGGATATGAAGATCTACATGGTCTCTGTGTTATTTATTGTCACTAGCCACAAGCAAAGGTCAGCTCCTTTTTCCCTTATTCACATCTACCTTCTTTAAGAAACACAAACTAGACCTGGCCTGACTATTAAAACTCACACAGAGCATCTTATTCACAAATTAATTTTAAGGCATTTTGGTTCTTGGCTCATAAGATCACGAGACTCAGCAGACTTTGACAAAGTTCTAACAATCCTGACAGAGCACTTTTGGTGCCGTATAGGCTGAGGGGTCAAGTGAAGTGATGTCTTTACTACTGAGTCATTCTACTCCTGTAAAGATATCACTTACTGTCTTTCTTCATCAGCTGACTCATTTTTAAAGAAAGTAAGGACCAAACAGGATAGATCTGAGGTCAGGAGAGACCTATGGTAGGGAAATGTATGTCTTTGATTAAATGGGGCAAATAATGGCCTTCAAACCTTTCAGGCAGAAAAAGTCAAAGCTAAACTTTTGTGCTAGCCCTAAGGAACGGATGGCACTCACCAACCACTTGTGCTCTAGGCCAAAACCTCATTTTCACTGTTTGGATTATCTCCCAGAGTTAGTTAAAATCAAAAGGCAATTAAGCCCCCACTGAACACTGCTTGAGATATGTGTACACAAGGCTGCCATGGCTCACCTTTTACCACACAGCCTGCTCTGGTATGCATCCCTTAATTTCAGTGGAGTTTCCCCTTCTTTTACCCCAGAGTATGTAGTGAAAAAAAAAATGCAGTGGCCTAAAGTCTCAGACTGTACAGTTTAGTGTCCTGATGAATCCCATGACAACCTGGCAAAGTTCTTTTTCCTTGACATGATGCAAGCTTATTTAGCCAAAGAGAAGTCATTGCAAGCAAAGTGGAAGCTGACTCAGCCCTGTGGCTAGATATGACAAAACCAGAAAAGCCAACCTCAGTCATGAGCTGATAGATCAAATTCAGACATGCCATAAATCACATTATAAAGGACACATGAACAAGTGCTTCTTGTAGCTTCCGTGCTGTGGAGAGTGAGTTAGGTGGTAGCAGCAGCAGAATTTACCCTAGAGTTCAAGACAGGATAAATTTAACTGCAGAAACCTTCTGGTTAAATTTCTTGCTATAACTTTCCTTTCTACCTTGGGCTCCCAAGTTTGTTCCTCCATCTTTACATTGGTTGAGTGATCTGTTTCCAAACCCCCGCCTCCTTTTAGGTCACTTCTGAATTTAGCCCATTTTGCCAGGCTGCCAGGGAGTGATGCAGAGGAAGTTGGGCAGCCTCCTTAAAGGCTCACTCACATTTCAGGGACACATGCTATTGCTGTGCATGCAGAACATGCTGTTGCGCTTGGGAAGTGGAAAATTGTGAGAGCACATAAAAATCACCCATAGATCATTGCAACCGTTCTCAACTCCTCTACTCCAACATAACGCTGCACACCTTCAGAGACCTACTAATTAAAAATGAGGTTGGAGATGGGAGGATAGTAAAAGGAAAGCAACATTCAAGCAGTGTTTCAGCCTGAAAGTATTGCCTGTGCAAGACCAAGGGCTTAGTCTCAGAAGAGCTGCAGGTTAGGCAGCAGCCATGCAGACTACCCTGCACAGGCAATGTCTCTGACTTTGCCTGGAGGTATCTCCTCCAAAGTCAGGGTAGGTTCCACATCTATTCAACTTCCTCGTAGTTTACCCCATTATCAGGAGTGAAGGTTTGGCGATATGGACTCTTCCCTTCACAAAACAACACATTCTATAAAGGCTCCAGAACAGCTGTCAGGTAACTTGGATGTGGCTTACCAGCTTGGCCCTGAATCAATCCAGTGAATTTCTTTGTATTTAAATCTTACTTGCTTTGGGGAATCCAGTCCTTCAGATGCATTCTCTTGCACATAGGTGCACA